AAAAAATTGTCTCTTTTTCTCTTGGACAACTCAGCACTCAAACACACATACGCAGACATGCACCTGCACACATATACACACACAGACTTACACAAAGGCAGGGCTAGTATCCCCTTGAGTTTTCCCTACTGCTGCTTCTATGAAAATTTACACAGAAGTGATCTCATCGGCTATTTTGAGCCCACTCTGACCTAGGAATGTTTTAAAGAGCTAGTATCTGTCTCTGCTTTTTGTGAAGTTTCTCTTTACGTTTGGCAAGACCCAAAAAATATTGTGTGTGTAGGTGTGTGTACATAAAAACCTGTGTGTCTGTGTAGGCCCCCATGTCTTTCTGTTTTATTACCCTGCTGTGTTCAATACAGAAAATTGTCTCTAAGTTGGACTTCTCATCTCATCTCACAGTACTGAAACTCATTTAGAATTGAAAGCAGGCAATTTCAGTCATCTTTCTGTACATCTCCTTGCAGCCACAAAATAGTGCACCTATTATATGAACTCATACACTCTCTCCATTTGCAGGATCCTCAATGTTTTCGCAAGAGTCCCCCCCCCCACACACACACAAAATCATATCGTAAGACGGTTACAGAGACACATAAAATATCAGTTGCTTTTGAGAGAGCTCCATCAGCAAATTGAGTCAATTTCAGATTTCTCTGTGCAGTCTTTGATGCAAACACTCACCACAAACACTGCCATCCAATTTCATAGCGAAAGTCCAGCTGCTCTTGAGATGAATAGTGTGGGTCTGAAGTGTTTATGTTGTATACACAAGTCTGTCTGCTTGTACTCAGTTTCACACTGGTAATGGGGTGGGTTGCTCTATCCTTATTTCTACAACAATCAACTGCTGAAAATGTTTGTGGAGCTTGGCTATTACACATGTGATAAAGATGAAACAAAACGCAACCAAGCTGCAAAAATGACAAGGTTTTTTCCTCAGCACATTTTCAGGGCAAAACAGCATTAATGTGTGGTTGGAACAAAAATCTAGCCTTCGCTCATGACCCCATTTAGGAATCAAATGTTTGTCATCATGCTTTATCTTCGTCTTTGACACTTGAATTAAATAGATGCTCAAAGCCATTTTCAAAGAATTACCCATTCGGAATGGCTTGTGATAAGGTGTTGTATAATTAAATGTATTTGATGATTATATTATGGTTACGGATGTATTAACATAAAAGCAGCATTTTCAAGTTGTTTCAGTGCATCATCTTTTTAACAGATGCTTTGTATGTAAAATCTTAATCTGCAAAGTAATTAATACAGCCGTCAAATAAATTTAAGTCAGAAAAATGGTACATTTGAACTTCTGGAATGCATTGGAGCATAGTATGTATAGCAAGTGTAAAGAACCATAAAGACAACTACTCAAAAAAAAACAACTGTGTACTTCAGCACTGTGGTTGATTAAACGTTAATAACTTTCCACCACTGTCTGAATGACGTGGTGGTGATGAATCGGGCCAGGATTTGCCATTTCATCAACAGCATCACTGCCCATTAATTTAAAAAAGATAGTATCTTCAATTATGCAGATTCCCTTAGACCATCTAATTACCTGGACAACTGCATATCTGTCACTTAATGCGAGATGTGCAGAAGCAGTGAACCACTACTTTTTCATTTAGCACTCTGGTTATAGTGACAAAAAGCTCTGCAGCTTGACTGACACTTTTGCCTCATCTTGATGAAAGTGACAGAAAACAGGGAGCGTGTAGACTGTGTATTAAAAAATTTTTTGCCAAGGCATGTACTTGCAAATAGATGCTCTAAAGAAGAAGACTGTATATTGACATGGCAGCTGTCAAGGTCATATGCAGAACAATCTGAATAACTGATGTGATGTTTGCTAATTAATACCAAAAATGCACAGGGTAGCAGTTATGACATGATGTTTACTACATATTTTACTGCAGGAAAGCACTGGAGATGATAAAGTCATCATTTTTTAACGATGCATCTGGCAAAATTCAGTCAAGATGTGAGGTGAGGAATTCAGCTGAAGCGCCGTCAATTCAGTGTGTGAATGTTTGAACTCTGAGCAGGTTTTTCATAGCTTCACCATCACCGTGAAATGATCCACTGAGTAAGGTATGGAGGATGTTTTTCCATCATGTAATGTGGGACATTCAAAAGACACTCAAGTAAAACATGCTGATAGAATCAGTCGCATTGTGGTATACTTAACAGCGCGACATGGCTATAGACATCTGTAGTATGCAATCAGTGATGAATGACCTCATTGATGATAGATGGTTTGACTTTAATTGCTCCCCCAGCAGAGAGACACTAAATATATGCAAACATAAAAATCATGTTTTTATATCACACATTTATCAACTGACTTAGGAGACAAACATTAGTCTCTCAAAATGCACTCTGAAAAGCAGCTATAGCATGACGTGGACACAAATAATGAGGGGATTACAGTCTCCCATCACAGAAGGATTATGCGATAAAAGCATGAATTCAACAAAGTGTTTCCATGGGTATTTAGCAAATGTCTCTTGTCTTTTACAATTCATGTTGTATGCATTTCCATTTTTTAACGTTTCACTTTTTGGTTTAAGATTCAACAAAAACAGCCCAAATGACAGCACTCAAGTGACAATGAAGTTTTTAAGCCAACATTTTTGAGGGAATTCTTTCAGGTCAGGTCAGCAGAGAGTAATGTCACATGTTCATTAAAAATAAAACCCAGGAACAAAGAAATATAACTAAAATTGTCAAAGATTGATGTCTGGTATTTATTGTGTTGGATTATCTACCTCAGGCCTGAGGCAAGTCTGTGGAAGTTGCTTTTCATTTTGTTGCAAGATGAAGAGCAGAAAACACTTTCTTCTGAAAGGTGGAAAATAAGCCATGACATCCCCTAATATGCTGACTGTGAGGTGACCCGGCAGGTAGAAAGTAAACAACAGAACTGGCATAAACTAAATAAAATAACACTTGGATTATCCTTTAAGGTATTGTTCATAGTTATATGGGCAAGTCTAAAGTGTAAATATAAAAACATATAAAGAAATGGCTTATACAGTGGGTACGGAAAGTATTCAGACCCCTTTAAATTTTTCACTCTTTGTTTCATTGCAGCCATTTTCCAAAAATCAAAAAAGTTCATTTTATTTCTCAGTAATGTACACTCAGCACCCCATCTTGACTGAAAAAAACAGAAATGTAGAAATTTTTGCAAATTTATTAAAAAAGAAAAACTGAAATATCACATGGTCATAAGTATTCAGACCCTTTGCTCAGTATTTAGTAGAAGCACCCTTTTGATCTAATACAGCCATGAGTCGTTTTGGGAAAGATGCAACAAGTTTTTCACATCTGGATTTGGGTATCCTCTGCCATTCCTCCTTGCAGATCCTCTCCAGTTCTGTCAGGTTGGATGGTAAACGTTGGTGGACAGCCATTTTCAGGTCTCTCCAGAGATGCTCAATTGCGTTTAAGTCAGGGCTCTGGCTGGGCCATTCAAGAACAGCCACGGAGTTGTTGAGAAGCCACTCCTTCGTTATTTTAGCGGTGTGCTTAGGGTCATTGTCTTGTTGGAAGGTAAACCTTCGGCCCAGTCTGAGGTCCAGAGCACTCTGGAAAAGGTTTTCGTCCAGGATATCCCTGTACTTGGCCGCATTCATCTTTCCCTCGATTGCAACCAGTCGTCCTGTCCCTGCAGCTGAAAACCCCCCCACAGCATGATGCTGCCACCACCATGCTTCACTGTTGAGACTGTATTGGACAGGTGATTAGCAGTTCCTGGTTTTCTCCACACATACCGCTTAGAATTAAGGCCAAAAAGTTCTATCTTGGTCTCATCAGACCAGAGGATCTTATTTATCACCATCTTCGAGTCCTTCAGGTGTTTTTTAGCAAACTCCATGCGGGCTTTCATGTGTCTTGCACTGAGGAGAGGCTTCCGTCGGGCCACTCTGCCATAAAGCCCCGACTGGTGGATTGCTGCAGTGATGGTTGACTTACTACAACTTTCTACCATCTCCCGACTGCATCTCTGGAGCTCAGCCACAGTGACCTTTGGGTTCTTCTTTACCTCTCTCACCAAGGCTCTTCTCCCCCGATAGCTCAGTTTGGCCGGACGGCCAGCTCTAGGAAGGGTTCTGGTCGTCCCAAATGTCTTCCATTTGAGGATTATGGAGGCCACTGTGCTCTTAGGAACCTTAAGTGCAGCAGAAATTTTTTTGTAACCTTGGCCAGATCTGTGCCTTGCCACAATTCTGTCTCTGAGCTCTTCAGGCAGTTCCTTTGACCTCATGATTCTCATTTGCTCTGACATGCACTGTGAGCTGTAAGGTCTTATATAGACAGGTGTGTGGCTTTCCTAATCAAGTCCAATCAGTATAATCAAACACAGCTGGACTCAAATGAAGGTGTAGAACCATCTCAAGGATGATCAGAAGAAATAGACAGCACCTGAGTTAAATATGAGTGTCACGGCAAAGGGTCTGAATACTTCTGACCATGTGATATTTCAGTTTTTCTTTTTTAATAAATTTGCAAAAATTTCTACATTTCTGTTTTTTTCTGTCAAGATGGGGTGCTGAGTGTACATTACTGAGAAATAAAATGAACTTTTTTGATTTTTGGAAAATGGCTGCAATGAAACAAAGAGTGAAAAATTTAAAGGGGTCTGAATACTTTCCGTACCCACTGTAAATAATACTCGTGAAATGCAAAATGAATGAACCTAACCTTAACCAACCTAACCAACAGAGGCAACAAGCACTAGGCAATCAGAGGCACAGTTGTCAAAAATCTGGTGGGGGGAAAAAAAGCTCAGCTGAGACCAAGCAGTTGAAGCACCATGACAACTGTAAATTCTTTAGTGTAAAAATAACACTGAATTAAAACTACCTAGTCCTCCCAAAAGCAAGCATGACCCTTTGATGCAACCCATTCATAAAAACCAACCACATATCAGTTCCTGGAGGGTAAATATAGCAGAAAGTTAGGATAAGCTACTCAGAGCCACACCATACCTTCACAGTATGCATTATCATCTCGCAGTGGACGGAAGCCATCCTTACAAACACAGCAGTCTCCTGCCTCCAGGTTCACACAGTCGGAGTGCTCCACACAGCTGTGGCCCTCTAAGCAGAAGTCATGACCTGCAGGAGGCACCAAGAGGAAAAGGTTGAGAACCCAGAGGAGAGAAAAGGACAGGAGTGATGGAGGTATACAGTGCCTGCAGAAAGATTATGTTGTAGTCTCACAACCTTTTCTCTGAGTATCCGTACTGTGGCTTCCAAGGCATAGTAGGTCAAAATTATCTTAATTTGCTATAATATTTTCCCTGTTACATCTGATTTCATAATCTCAAAAGCAGATACTGGAGATATATTTGAGCTAAAAGTAGAAATAATATGAATCAAATGAACACATGAAGCCCATTTTCTACACATTATAGATTACAAATTACAGATCAAATTTGGATGATTGCTGATTTGCAACTTTACAGGCAACCAGGGATGACAAAAAACCTGCAAAATGTGAAAATAAAAACTTTAAATAATAATATTGCACCATAAAAAATATGGCATGGCAGTGGTATTGGATGATGTTTCTTCCATACCTCTGCAGACTTTGCAGCATCTGTCACTCAAGGTGATCTGCTCCGACTCTGCACAGTTGAGTTCGGGACAAGGCTCACTGGGGACTACTCGATGCATGGTCCTGTCCTGTGATGGGCAGAGACACAATCCTCATGAGCTACTTCTTAGGTCCACTCTGCCCTCCACTCATTTGCTAGGGCCTGCATGTAATTATGAAGGTAATTATTCATATATTGTGTTTCCTTTTTCACACTCCCTCCTCCTTGTGTGTTCATTACAAACCAATTACTCATTGGTCAATAGCAGTATTTTCCCAAACTACTCCTGGAAGGGGGGAGGAGCTGTCTTCTCTTCTCCTCCTGTTATCCTCAGTGATTTATATCATGATTCATGATGCATCTTTATTATACAAACAGTGAATCAATCTTCTGGATAATCCCTGCATGTGTGTTTAGTCAGAGTGTAAAACCTGATTAGGGGGTTCCTTTTCCCAGCATGCCTTTGGCAGTACTCTCTGATGATCTCATCCATGTCCCTCTGACTGATGCTAATTTTGAGTCATTAACACTAGACACAGTTGGACAAAGACAAAGGCTTTTCTATCTGTTTGTAGTGAACACATATTTTACTTACGGTAATAATCTTCAGACCAGTCTGTGTACAAGATGTCTCCATGAGGTGTCATGACCTCAACTTGTACATTGACTGATTATGCCCTCATGAAATTCTGGAACAAACTTCCCCTAAAAGTCCCCAAACAACTTTCCAAACAAGCCGCTTACTTCTTGCCACCCACCACCCAAAACTTGTGCCCCCCTTACAGCCAGCAGGCAGACAGAAGATCAGAGACATGACAAGCAGCTGTCAGGGGAAGCCTGCAGGAGTTTGCGGCAGTGGGCCGACTGACAGTACTCCCCGTCCCCATTTCTTTGATCTGCCTGGGACTGCCAGTCAGTTGACTGGGACTACAGATGGGCCAGGTGTGGGCAAGCAAGCTAGACAGCTGTCTGAAACTGCAGATTCCAATGGAGCTTTGCAGAATTCATAGAGGAGTTGGCTGATACGATAGAGTTGGGTGATTAAAAACTTCAATTCACTTTTCTGTGATTGATTGGGCATGCCTGCCATAATGTCATGAAGTGAATTATTCCCAAAAGTGAACGACCCACCCATCTGGCAGACAAAAGAAAATACTCTGAATAATTGGGAAATGAATATGATTTGGGACCACTGTGGTATCTGATGATTGATTCTGAAGAATGGCTGTGGCATCCTATGATTGAGCACTGCTCTGGATTCCAAATGTAAACTTCAGTAGAAGGATTTGGCCAATTTCTTTAGATCACAAAGAAAACGATGACAAGCCAGATCAATGAAATTCAGCTGAAGTGGACAATCTTGCATGCTGGCTCATTGAGGCTTGATTTATCCTCTCAGGTCGGGGCAAGGTAGCTGTGAAATGAGTATTTAGTGAGCTTTCAAGCACTGCCACAATTTTTACATTTAACATATGAACAGAGTTGAAATGCTTGGTTACATGAGTTATTGTGGTGTCTCTTCCTGCAGAGGATTGATAAAATCATTTTGAATGAGTATGTATAAGTGGGTTTTCTCTCTCTCTCTCTCTAGGTGTGTGTGTGTGTGTGTGTGTGTGTGTGTGTGTGTGTGTGTGTGTGTGTGTGTGTGTGTGTGTGTGTGTGTGTGTGTGTGTGTGTGTGTGCGCGTTGACAAGACTTACCCTGCATTCAAACAGCAGACACCTGCCAGAGGAGTCGCGCACAGCCTTCTGATTCCCTTCCACTAGCTCTCTTCCACCAAACAGGCAGATTGCTGATAGCAGGCACAGAAAAATCATCAGCATGCACACAAATAAACACACAAACACATAAAAATAAATAAATGGAAACAGAAAATCACATTTATCCCTTGAAAAACTTTTATCATAATTTTTATCATATTCAACAAAATAATCTGTATTTTTATTTTGTTTTAATGAATGTGAATGCAGTACATAAAAGAAATCTTCTAAAAATGCATATGCTAGATGTTTAAGATTATGTGAGTTCAAGCTACTATGATTTATTAGTTTTTATAAAAAAAAAAACACAAATTGTTTGATAACTTTCATTTGAGTAGATTTAGAAAAGGAAATGTGAATGGATTAATCTACCACTCACTTTTTTCATTAATCAATAAATTACTTCTGTCTTTAAAATGTAATAAATAATATCTTTTGTTTCTAGATTCCAAATTACTGTCTTATAATTGCTTAGTTTACCTGCCAGAAACCTAAAATGTATTTAATTATTCAAACTATTTCTTATTTTTATATATTATGCAAATCACACATATTTTCAACCCTGCCCCACCAAATATATTAACATTTAACCCATATCTACACTCCTATTTTACATGTTATTATGTTAAGTCCTCAGGTATATTGAGTCAAACCAAATCAAGCATATCAAGCCCAATTAAACAATGCTACAAAATAAGTGATGAAATAATTAGCATGTACAGAGAGAAAACACTGCAACACTACGGCGAATCAGTTTTACATACTTATAGGGCGAGAGGTTTGCAAAAATAATCACATGAGCAGAAAGTCCGAGTTGGATGAGTAGTTGGGGTCAGACAGATTCAAACTAATATGAGGGAGAGAAATGATTGACACTGCAGGTCAGGCCCTATCACAAAGCGGCGTATCATGAAAGCGAAGGACTTCTGAAACAGCCATTTGACATTCTACTTGACAGATCATCAAATAAAAAAATAAAAAAAACAGGCTCAGAACTCCTCCCTGCAAGGCCTTGTGCTGCCAGATAAGGCTTTAATTTGGAGAGGAAATCATGTCTTTGTAGTGGGAAAGTTGCGCCACTCTTCTCTCCAAAGCCGGAGCATGCGTAATTAGCTGTGTGTTTGTCTACCTCGTTGAGATAAGTGAGCACAGGGATGTTGAATTTAAGGGGATTACCTGCTACGTGTTTATATTTGTGTAACACGGCAACACATTCAGAGTCATACATAAACCCTTCATAAACCCCTGTGTTCCAGCACCGACCCATGGGTCGGTGGAAGTGATGCCGACGCAAGCTGATTAGAATCCAAGACTAATGGTTTCTTGCTGATAAAGAGTTAAAACTTATCTATTATTTGCTTTGCAAGGGAAGCAGTAGAGCAGCGGCAGCAGTGTGTGGGAGTGTGTGGTGTGAAAGTTCTCAAGTGAAGTCAGTTTGCACAAGATGTGGAGAGAGATCTATGAAGAAATACTATACATAAGTAAAGTCTGCCGAATTTTTCTATCATTCATATGGTCTGTAACCTTTCATAACATCAGTTATTAAAAACACTCTTATTTATACTAAACTAAGCTAATGATTTCCATAGATTCTGTTCTATACATTGGCAGGCAGCTCGTTCTGTCTTTTGAAAGCAAACACATCACATCTCTTTAAGTTTAATTTGGGTTAATATCAGAAGAATTCTGGGGTGGAAAAGCTAATATCCTCTGAAATCCATTTTTATTGAGAAGGGAATTGAGAGAATATGAGATGCAGAGTGCTGCGGTGAGGAGGCTAATAAGAGTTCATTGCTGAACTCAAAGTCTTTTGGAAAAAGAAGACCCATTAATGTAGATATGTGATGAAAGAGAATTATTTATCCAGCAAGAACATATCAGTGCTCAAAAGTAAAAAAAAAAAAATGACATTTAAGAAGACACTATCACCAGTGAGAGTGTACATCGTTTCAGGCGTTTAACATTTCTTTCTTCTTCACTTTTCTCACAGCACGTCTGCCATAAATAGGAACTACTTTACATCACATGCAGTGATCCCAGATTTATTGGCTCATGTCTGTGTGACTGGTGGCCATCTGTGTTTTGAAGCCAGCTAGTGAATAATTGATTGGTCCATGTATATGCAAAAGGATGGACCCATCTCAAGAGGCATGTTTGGAGGTAGCTTAGCAACGCAGCAAAGCCCTGGTCAATTGTCATGCAGCCCTTGTGGAGGCGTGATGCGTGCTCTATATCTGGTGGTGATGGAGGTTGTTTTGCTGTTGTGTGTGTTTTTGCGCAATTGTGTCCATGATTGTACGAGTGTAGGAGGGTGACGAGGTTAAGGGTACTCCACTCACGCTGGCACTCCTTGCAGCAAGCACCCTTTACGTAGGCAGGCGCGGTGCCCGCTGGGCACTGAGGGGGAGGGCAGGAGATGGCCTCACATTGCACCGTGCCATTCTGGTGAAGAGAGAGAAACAACACCTTTAAAAGAGTGACTAATATAGGCCAATGCATACAGACTGATACTGATAGATATTACATAAATATCAAGAAAAATCATAAAAATACACATCACAGACAATATATTTTCAAATATTTTTGATAAGGATCCCTTAAATGTGATAATTACAGACCATGATATGTACTGACCGAGGCATTTTACAATTGAAAAATAAACTTGCCGGTGCTCCCAAGTGGGGTCGCAATGTAAAGGAAACACATTTTCCAAAGAAAATGCATTTATAAACATATGTTGGCATTTTTGTACTGCAGTTTTTTACTTGCTGGCCAACACATATACACCAATACGCATATATTTGTGAAATGTCAAATGTTCTGTTTGTTAGTAGTAGATATATATTTATTACTTCTTGCAGATAAAACTATTTTTGTCATTTCGTCAAAATCTAAATTTTAACAAATCAAAGTTTCATCTTACTAGTGGAGGAAGATTACTAGTTAAGCACAGATAAACACGGCTCAGATGTGCCCCGGACAAATTAAATAAGCAGAAGACATTCATTTTGAGATGCTTGTTACATTATCAGTTGAAGTTACATCATTATGTCATGATCTTGGGTTTTACTGTGTTGTTTTTCTGTTATTTTGTTAATGTCAATTTCTGCTTTACTCGTTGCCTCTGTGTTCTTGTTTAGGTTTTGTTAGTTTGCTTCCTTCTTCTCTGTTGTCTTAAGTTACTTATATCCTTGTGTACTGTTGGTAGCTTTACTTCCTGTTTTATTTTGTAATTTTGGTGTTTTTGTCAAGCTTTGTTTTCTATCTGCCTTGATTCCTAATTTGTCTCACCTGTGATTGCCCTGCCTGCTTGTGTGTGGTGTGCCCTTGTATATATTGCCCTGAGTGTTCTGCCCTGTACTCCGTTATGAGTTCTCATTGAGTAAATCCTCTTTTAACTGTATCCTCCTCGCAAGTGTCTGCATTTTGGGTCCACACCTCTGCCTCCTGCCACTTCACTCAGCCTGTCTGATACATTAGGGGAGAAAGATTACATGCTTAGTATGAAAGCAAATGGATAAAGGTGTGGCCATCAACTTTGCAAGATCATGATCCTGCTTTAATTTTTTATTTCACATAGTGTGTCTATTTCCTCTTTCCCGTCCTTGTTGTCTTTCCACTTGGCAATGGGTTGTATATGTGCATTTATTGGCTTCCAAAACTACTCAAGCCTCTGTGATTCTCCAGTGCAGACACGGACAGCCCATTGGTGACTGCTCATGGCTGGTCAACCTCTAACTACCAGCATGCACGTCAAAATGCATGCTAGCTACACTATGGTCAGTCAGATTCCAAGTTCTTATAGTTAATAATTGTGTCTATGTCACTGTGCCTCTACCCCAGAACTCACTCTCCACACTCCCTCTACAAACCACTGCATCGTCCCACACACAAAAAAAAACAAGACCACTCTTAGTGCCCAGTACAGTAAGACTACCCAATTTACTCAAGAAATGTTTTCATACTATTTTTGACTCCTGTTTCACAACTGGCCGCAAACCAAGCCACGTCTTTTTTGTGGAGCAGGTTATGCTCTGGCAGACCAAGTCTATATAAACTAAATGGTGCGACACAACTAATATGCAAAATGCTTTAATTTTGATCTCTCTTCCCTCAAGAATCAGCACTGTTAAGCTCATTTGAAATTGTCAGTGGTGCGAATTTGAGTCAAAGTGCCCCAAAACTGAACTCTGCTCGAACACCTGGGTGATTGCCACTACACAGTAGTTTGCCCCCCAACTATCCTCCACCCTGTTGCATTTTTTAAAATATGCTGGGAGGGTGGATTCTGGCAGAAATCAAGACTATGCTTGCTCATTAAAAAGTTTTGTTTTAAACCTAATCGTAGCCTACAGTAGATTTCCACGGTAGCCTGTAAATCTGATGTATTTAAATGCTACCTCCTTTTCTCCAGCTGTGCCTGTAATTAACATTGCTTCCATGGATGAAAGCTCTGTGACAGCAACATCTATGAACCTGATCCACATAAGTGATAACATCGTAATGCATGACCTTTGAATTTTAAAGGTCACAGCTAATTGCCACACATAAGGTAAGGAACATATCCCATCTAATTCCTTAATTGCCGCCCGGGAATGGCAACACACCGTTCCCGGCGAATGAAGCGATTTCATTGGATGAGTAGGCAGAACAAATCCCTGATGATAATTATCATCTGTCAAGAGCAATTAGGTGCAGTGCACTGAGAGATATTTGATTTCCTATTTTTTGCATGTTGGGTAGTGGTGCGCGAAGGCATCTCATTGGCTGGTTGGAGAGGTTCAGTAGCAGCGAATGGGTTTCAAGTTCCAAAGCTGAGTAGACTGACAGGGGGTGAAATCTGTTTGCTGATGTGGTACAAGCCCCAGATCTCCTATTACTTCTTATTCTCTTTTTGGCAATTATTCACACTTTGTGCAGCTAAAAGTAGACTGTTGAGAGAATTAAGCATTACTAAGCACTGTTGTTGATGTGTCTAATCCCAAGTACTGTGGAGGTTTTTTCAATACAGTATCTTTTCTTGGGTAACTGGGGCAACCCTCCTCTACTGCAAGGAAATAATGAGAATATAAGCTATCAACAATGGGGCCCCTGCTCTCTGCACCTCCAACCTACCCAAACACACACCCCGTCCCCCCACCTTCACACACTTGATGAACAGGGGAGCAAAACAAAAGCCAATACCTACAATGGGAGCAGTGAATGCGTAAATGTAGAGAGACGCTCATAAACATAGACACACAACTGATGAATGCACACAAAGACAAAACAACACACGGCATTACAGACATGATGAAAAATGCACGTTCTCTCTTTCTCTAATAGACACATGCGCGCGCACACATACACACTCAGATCTACCCAGACCTTCACACATATATCTATTTATTTCATGACACACTCATGAAACAACCCCACAATCACATACTGTATGACAAGCACATAATTCCAGATTCAGTATGTTTACACACACATACACACTTATTTAAAATTGAATGTCCTCCCTAGCTCTTTATTACTCTAACATACACACCCATATGCGCAGTGTACACACGCATCAACACACACACACACACAGACACACACTCGAATGTGTGAAGCCCCACCGAGCATGTGCAGTTTCTGCAGCCATCTGTCCAGCCCTCCTCCTCCCTGTAGACGACCCCCTTGACGCTGCAGGTTCTCTCACAATAGCAGCCATCCAGCCCATTCATCTTCTCCTCTGCCCTGGACAGCTGCTCACGCCACCCGCCCCAAAAAGAAAAGGCAAGAAGGAGAGAAGATGAGAGTCTGCCTCGTTTGGTGTCTATATTCACATATAGAAAGCAGAGCTTCAAAAGAAAACCATCAGCATCACAAAAGTAAGTCATTAGACACCATTAACCCCATTTACACAAAGAGTCTCTGCATCAGAGACTCTTTGTGTAAAGACTTCACCAATAGCCAAGTCTAATGTTAATATGTCATCAACAGCCTGTTGCAATGAATGTTAGTGACACACTTTTATTTTTTAAGATAATAGTCGATTTGTGGACACATTATATCACATTACATTACCTTGCTGGATGTTTTAGCAAGGATATCCTGCAGTTCCATGATTTTCTGCACAAGTCCGTGGAAATCATTACAGGTTGGGCATGCTGAAATACAAGAGAAAATATACTGTAATTTAGTACATGTTATACAATTACCTGCAATTATGATAATTTATTATTATATATTACAAATTAAAACAGTTGTAGATAGTAGATTAGGCACATATTGTTTTCAAAAAATATTGTATAAATAATAACTAAATTTGTTTTATAAATGATGATCTACAGCACTACATTATGTAATTTATTCATTTTTATATATTGCAATTTTTCTCTTCAGTGTCCCCTCTGCAAGAGGACCTCATATACTTTAAACCGCAGCAAGCAGTGTCCCCTGTCAACTTTTGCATGGGGACATGCAGTTAATGTGATTTTAAACCATGAGGTGTGTCTTTTTCTTGTTAGCAGGACTCCAGTGAGCGCAGAGTTTTTCAAGAATTTAAATAAAAAAACAAATCAATGCAATCAAGTGCCTAGTAAAATAAGCACCAGAGACAATTTAGGTTAAATTAAACTCTTAATGGAATGCTTTGTTGCTGTGTTAAATAAGAGACTGCACTCACTTCTGTTCAGATCTGGACACTGTGAGATGTAACCCTGTGGCATCACCAGGATCTCCACGTCCTGCATCACTCCCTGCACAGGCAGACCCACATCAAACTTTTTAGTCAAGGAGAATAACACCTTACAGAGGGCAGACAGGCAATAAAAATGAGATGAAGCATGTTAATGTGTAGTAAGTGGATAAGGACCCAGAGGGGCTGTGGTATCTAAGTGTGCTCATAGTACATTTTCCACATGAGATCACATGGAACCCAAGCTTGCGCAGAACATGCAAACACAAAACCAACATCCTTGTTTATGAGAGCCTTAAACTGAGCATAAAACTGAACATAGTGAAATAGCAATAAATCCGAGAGTGAGTGCAAATGTATTTTTAAATCTGGTAAGTGAGAGAGAGACAGAGAAGTTAGTTGTAAGATAATATGCCTCTTGATGTTGTCGCTCAGGTGAATCATCTCATAACCGAACTCCAACAGGAAGTTAAGTGAACCAATTATGTGGTAGTTTTAGTAGGTAGATGGAATTTTTATTTTTCCTCCCAATCTCCTGCAATAAGCATAAACAGGACATACAGATTCAATTTGACACCCAATTGATAACTACTTTTGTCCTGCTGTCGAGCCCCAAACACATACATACATACACCCACGTATACACATACCCACACTCTGTCGCTATGGTAACCTGGCCCATTTCATTTCTTGAGTGCATTTATTTCCCTTACAGAAGTGAAGCGGTGAAACTTAGGAGAAATTGTTTTTTAAATTGTCTTGCCACTTCAATTTACGGGCCATAAATTTAAAATGCTGCAGAAATTATTTGCTGATTTTACACGGCAACCTGCTGAAATGAAAGCAGCTTGGAGTCGCGTCTATCAAACTTGAAATGAAACCAAAAAACTACACATTTATCTGCGGCCATAGAACCCATTTTCCATGCATCCACAGTAAACTTCTGTACTGTGATTAATACTGCGTTATTACTACTTTTGTTTTTATGAGCGTATGTTGTTAGCAAGCAGTCAAAGACATCTGCAGAGCTGCTGAAAAAGGCAGTCAGTTGCTCTGGATGAACAGAAAGTACTCTACCTGAGCCCTTAAGTGAGTGTATGGTATCTAGGTGTTGAGACCGAGACACCGGGATTCACTGCCGAACCCTCTGGAGGTGTCGTGGGCATCACTCCCTTCGCGCAGAGTCTAGGCAGCATCTAGTCTAACATCTAGTCCTACAAAGCAGATCCAATAAAGCCCAATTGAACTGAACTGATTTGACTTAGAAATGGAAAATTTTTCATTTCACTGTGTCTTTAAAAGCAGAGCATGTGTTGTAATGCAGCACTATCAAAACAACCAGTGGCTAGACTTTGTTTTGTGCGTTCTGGCAACTGAAAACATTTTAAACTCTCCAAACTGATTCCTCTGTGTCAGTGACACTCTTGTTTACTGCAGTATGCATGCAGTAACACGTGGGACACCCACAGTTGCCCCATCTGTACCGGAAATGTGAATTTGGGAGTGGCAGAGTGAGGGTTGGATCTCTTTTGATGCACCAACATCCATTTTCTACAAACCGCAAACAATCTTGAAAACATCTATCCTAACAATCCTGAAAAATAACGAATGAAATCTGACTGTCAAACAAAATGTGATTTGCATGTTGCAGCGGTTGCTGTTTCTTGTTAGGAAGGCCTGAATCAAATTGTTTTTAGCCTTTCAAGTTAGGATGTAGAACAACTTGCTACATCAGCATACAAATCTACAACTGCTGAAATTCAAACATTGTGTCACTAGCTAAGTAAGATAAAATAGATTTGGCTGATGTGTGTGGACTGTAAAGCAGATATTTACCGAGTTGTGAAGCAGAGGTGCATGTACACTCATTTCTGCGTCTTTACTATTAATGTTACCGGGATGTGATTTTCTCGTCTTCAGCTGACACCTACAACAGACATTGACTGTTTTTGTGTGTCTGAGTGTACGTGTACTAATGAAGGAGTGTGTTTTAAAAGGAGATGTGCCTTCCTAGCAACTAATCAAGGATTCAGAGAGTGGCGAGGGGAGAGATGCTGCTGCGTGACAAGATTAGTGGCTGACCTCCAAGGTTTCTTTCATCTACCAATTAACACAGAGGAAATTCAACAGCCAGGACACAATGTGTAAAGCATTAAAATACACACACACACACACACACGCAGGTACACAACACATCATCAAACACAGAGCCAGTCACCAGCAGACTGATTAAAATAGTTATAGTTGCCAGTAAGCTGACATTTTGCCCCAACATGTATCCCCAGGTGGGAAATTTTGGAGTGCAGTTCAGTCTGGGAAAGGCGATATATGTCTCCCAGTCTGATAAACAAGACTATAGACTAAGCTTAATGAGCATAGTCCAGAGGCTATTTAATGATTTCTCCCAAATCAGCATTGTGGGGGCTGCTGAGATAATTGCACTGGGCTTAGCTGCAGACTAAGGGAGAGGGAACAAACAATGACAAAAAATGTCAATTCCTAGGGTAGTCAGAGTAAACTTCAAATTAATATGGTAAGCCTTGAGAAATGCAGCAATTAAATCCAACAGCTACAGTAAATAAAACCAAACAAGCCAAACAAAGAGGGAGAAGATACAGTATAAACCAAGATTAAGTATGGGGTGAAAAGCTAGTGCAGCAGCTAAGATAAATGAATTGTTCTTGCCATTCTGAATCATCACATATCAAGACAGGCATCAGTACTCATTTTCTGTGAGGAAAGTTTGTACACCAGCGCTAACCTTGAAGAAGCCATGAGCGGCGTTTCTCTGTCCAAGCCAGAAGGAGGCATCCTCAGGTATGTCCATGTAGGGGGCTTCCACCACCCGCTCATAGATCCTGCAAAACAAATACACAGTGAAGGATCCCTGCAGGTTGTACATTCTGTCAATTCACTTATTTTCATCTATTTAGAATAACAATTTCCCCTGCACTGCAGGTCCTGCCCTGCTAAATCCTCCTGTTAACTCCTTCCCTGAGGAGGGTATAGATAGCCACATGCTTTCTGTAATACACATGGTGTTGCCGTCTGTTTTTTTTTTTTTTTTTTTTTATTGTGCCAGGGAGGATCCTTCAAACAACTACTGTAACACCCCTTTCGTATAGCAGATGCAAGAATAATGCAGACCAACTCAAGGTGCGTTCGACCTGCACTGTACCCAGTCATGTGAGACAGCTGACAGAGGTTATTCTCTGGATGTCACTATCAGCAGAGACTCCTGTCTGTTATGTAGTCCCATATACTAAATTTGCTAATTACCAAATAAGTTTCAGTTCCACCTTTTCGTTCAGCGCCATACATGTGCCGTCTTTTCTTCTTTCTTCTCTATCTCTTTTTTGGGGGGAGCTGGTTAAATGATGTTTCAATTTTGATATCAGAAAATACATTTCCCTGATAGAAAGGCCAGTTCAAGACCCTGATCCCCTGATCAAGAGGAGGGTAGTTTAGATGGTATAAGAGACAAGGAGGTGATCCCTCAATGGCTTCCCATCAGAAAACACTAACACACTTGTGTCCAATCATGCAGCTGGCCAACCAAGTTCCTGCACTGTTATAGCCATCATAATTATATATTATGGTAGTTTTAAAATTGAAAGTATGCACTTTTTACAAAATAATTTCAGGTTTGAATTCCTTGTGTGTACTGTATAAATGGGTCTAAAACATTTTGAGCAACTGTATAAATTTAAAGACCGTTCAAATCCACAACAATGATAGAACAAGAGTGTTGCATTTAAGTGCCAATGTACTGTTATAGTAGTAGTGTAGTAATAGTGTTTCCAGCTGAAACCACCACTGTGTAGATTTTTTTGACTAAGGACACTTTCATGAAATGAAAGGAAATATTTTAACTTTGAACAAAGAATTCTATGTGACAGCTACAGATATTCATTTAAAGTAGGGATGCACCAAGTCCAATACCCCATTCAACTACTGATCCAATGCCAGTGTTCTATTTTTCACAAATATTAAGTCTGTATAACTCACTGTCTGGAACTCACAGGAATCATTTTTAGGATAAGTAACATAAGGGAAGGTATTGCTGTGGCTTTTTTTGACTCAATATATAACTGATAGTGGAAACACAGAATGATTACAATTGACAAAAAACTTTATTAAACCTGGAACATTCACCTCATGGCCGATACCTTTACCAATACATTATATGGTATTTGTGCATCCTATTTAAAGTTAGCTTTGGAAACACCTGAGGAAATCATATCTGTATTTTAATTTAGTTATAAAATTTGAAAGCCTCCCTTCTCATACATTGTAAGAATTCTCCCAAACTACAACACATATGGCGTTTATTTGATATTTTATTGTCGCATACATGCTAACATTCATCCCCAGCATCTTACCTGTTGCAGTCGACATGAAGTATGACATGAGAGGCACTGACAGCCACAGAGACTTTGTGCCACTGGTCATCAGCCAGGCTGTAGGGGAACACCTCCGTGTGAGCCTGTTGGCCTTTGGTACGATAGTGAAGACGCACCTCACTGCGCTGTCCACTACTCTCCAGCTCCAGGAACCTGCAGAATATAAGCACCAGCAACTTGCGTCTAGTAACACCCATGCAATGACAGTTTGCATTCTCTGCATTGTACAGTATGTCTTGTTGCATTAAAGTCTCAATACTAAAACCTAATCATAATTTCTGTTTGCTCAAAAACTTGCATGCATGCATCACCAAAAGTGTCTGTGCTCCTCTCAGCACAGTGCTGACAGATAAACATGTCACTCATTTCCAAGCACCACACACACACATCTCCCCAGATCTGCAACACCATTTACAATTTAATCACATCACTAGTAAAGCATAATGGTACTATTTGGCTGTTGAGTGCAACATCAGCAACACACAACAATAGCCCACATGTAGAGGTTCAACTCTGTACATTGGCGTATTAGTATTCTACCAGAATCCTGTTCTCCACACCACTGAGATTCACCCAGCATAGTGACACTAATGGAAAGAGATGCCAATACACACTCATCACCTCTGCCTTTAAAGAAAGACTTTAAACTAGAGTAATTTGCTGGAAACATTATTCAAAAGACAAATAGACAACCACACAAGTGTAGCATTGGAAATTATTTATCTGCAGACCCAATCTAATAGATTTACTCTCCCCTAGCCATGCATGCACATTCATCCCGGCTGCATAAATGCACTCGCTAACACTTCTGAAGCTGAATTAGTCCTTGCCATGTTTCCAAATGAAACCATGCAGTGCTGCTTTGTTGCATATGAATAGCTGGGAAAGCTAATCAGCAGCGGGGAAAGTCATTAACATCCCTGCAAGCTCTCTTTCAGGACTGACTTTAATGTACAAACTGTTCAATCAACGCATTATGTGGATCCAGATTGCTGTTCTGATCATCCAATGGCTCAGCTACCACAAACTAATGGAAAACATTAGCATGCTAACTGCAGATAGCGTCTCATCAGTTTTCAGTCCACGATTACAGACTCAATGTTTGGATCGTTGATGGACTGTGAATAATACATTGGCATACAGGATGATTTGCTTTGTTTACTCGACAGGTGTGTAAAACATCTAAATGCTCATCAGACACAAATATTGAGGTTTCAATCTGCTTCTTACAGACTGCTGATATGACAAAACAGAGAATGGTACAACATATAGAAAACAACTTTAATTAAGGTTTATCTGTGGGGCTTTATGAACAGATTTACTGTCCTCCATGTGATATTGTGGGTTCTAGTTTTGTCTCACGCTGCTAAAATATACATCTCAAAATAATATAATATTTGGAATCAATGGCATGTGCTCCACTTTTTCCACATGTTAGAATGTGAAATGTGAACTGATCATACCTGTGATCAGAATGATGAATGGAGAGGATGACCCCAGAGTTGAGGTGATCTTGTTTGAGGGTCACCAGCACCGTAAACTCATTCTTGCCTCTCAGCTTCTGGACCATTTTCTCTGAGACCTCAACAGTGGCCATCACTTCCCTGGAGGACCCTAGAATGAAGACAGAAATACCAGATATTATTCAAATAGCTAAATGGTAAATGGCTGCTCAATCACTCACTCACACACTGAGCACTCAGCGATCATACCAGTGTCTTGTCCAATGACACCTCGACGCCTTGACAGGAGGAGCTGTGACCACCCTGTGACTAGGGCTGGGCGATATGGCCAAAAATGTCAAGATGAAAAATGTCATATCACTTGATCGATAATTATCACGATAAATGTCAAATCATTCTTTCTTTCAAGTTTAAAGGCGAAATTTTGTTCCGATTTTGTTATTTTTTATGGTCAGAACATGGCAAACACTTGCCAAACAGTGGATCACTTAACAATTCTGAGGTAGAACATTGTTTAGGAAGTTTTTGTCATGTTTTAACCATAAAGAGTAGTTTAAAAGCACAAATAACCATCTGGTTTTACTCAGGAGCAAAAATCAGCCTTTAAACTCGATATCGAGTGACATAAAACTTTTTATCGTGATAACATTTTTGTCCATATTGCCCAACCCCTACAATCCCAATCCCTTTTAAAATATAATCTTTCTTAACCTCAATTATTTCCCTGCTCTCAGTAATTGGTCTTTCTTATTTAACCCACACATTTCAACACTGATGAGACAATATCAGCTGTGATAATGTTAATGACAATTATTATGAGTAAGAAGGTAAGTAGTGTAACTAAGTGATGTTAAATTATTCTGTAGTGTATGAAATATGTCTGAAAATGTTGTAGTGAAGTGAAATGCTGACATTTTAGAGATACAACTTATTAAACAGGAACATTTGCTGTACAGAACAAGTGAACATTCGGTTGGGATTTCACAGGCAATATGCAGTTTGATGCAATCACATAAACTCTTGACATATTTGAATTCATAAATGGAAAATCCACACTAAACACACTTAAGGGTATAAAAATGTGATGAAAAGGTTTCATAATGTTTCATATTTCCTTTAAAAATGTTTATGGCTCTAGAAAGTCAATTTTCCAATAAAGCTGCTAACATCCTTTTTAATGAAGTTTTGCAAGTTGATCATTTCAGACCTGTTTTGATAAGAAGGCTGACGTAACCTCAAGACTTCTTAAAATAATGATGCAGATGTTGTCAAATTAAGGCATTAGGAAACTAGCCAGCCACTTTGAAGCTTAAGTGATTTCAAGATTAAGTCAGGTCATTCACCTCAAATAAAACTTGATGTCATGCACTTCTTAAAATCATTAGATAACAACTTAACCAAACAAACATCCATTAGCTTGCATCAGCTATCCCAAAAATTGGATCGATGGAGCAAACACTTCATCCTTGGCTTGGTGTAGGACTGTAGATATGAAGCCAAGGATTTGGGGAGAAGAAGTGAAAGGCTAATGGTGCTGGCGTGGATGGGAGAGCATTTTCTGTGTAGTTAGCTCATAAGCTCCTCTTCCCACCAGTGTGCCCCCTCCCTCCTCTCCATCTCTACACAGACGCCTATGCTACTTTAATGGAAGCATCAATAAATGATGACGTTTCTCAGAAGCAATCACATCAAAGAGTTTACTTCCAGCTATGGGATGCATGCAAGATGCCCTGGCACACTTAAGCGCTCCAGGAAGCTAGCGTGGCAGCTTTTCCTCAGTGTATTAACATTACTTCCAGCTGGTGGGAGTAGCCAATTAACACAATGCAATGTGAAACAGCAAGCAATGCCATGAAGAAGACTGGCATACGCAGTGTACTCATAAGTTATATATAATACGATGACAGCATGGTGAAAAGAGGAGCATGTTTTCATACTTCTCTTCTTATACTTTCAGTGTGGACTTAGAAGGCTAGCATTAGCTCTTTCATCGTGTAGGCTTTCAAGCCCATCTGGGACATATTTTGAGTCATTTCTGTCTAAACGAGAATGCTCACTGGATTTGTCGCTGACCAGAGGAAACACACAGGGCACAGTTTCATGCATTTTGCATCGCCAAAGTATCATTCAAATGTCATTGGCTGAGGTAGGACAGATGGTCCAATGACTGCAACAGGAGTTCTGCCGAGCAATAATCTGCTGCCATCAGCAGATCCCACTTAATAACCAAATCCAAATGACCACTGTTGACAACAACCTCAGATATTACTGGAAATTATTTTTCCTTTGAGAAGTGTTGATATAAATTACTAAATTGTATTTAAGCTACAATTTGGTGTCTTTTCTTTAAATAATTCTGTTTTTTTATGCTCTGTGCAGCTCAACCCAAACAGGATTTGCAATGTCTATAACAATATGTGCTTGTCAGTCTATTACCATGCCATGTGTTGAACAGAGACTACACTGACATCTTAATCATGAGCAAAATGAGTGCAGTAGGAGCAGGTGTCAGGGCGGGTCCATACTGAGAGAATGTTGATGAGGCAGGGGGGATGGTAAGGGCCGAGGAACATCTACTACTGGGCTGCTCCACAGTTTGGTAGCCATGAGCTTTTGATCTATGAGCGGACGACTGTCATCACCAGTCTTTATACTTTGCGAGGAATGGGTTTGCTTCAAATCGGACTTCGGAGGATTGTAGGGTGGAGGATTCTTCTCATTTATATGGAGTGATGAGACTGTGTAGAGTTGCCTGTGTGAAAAGCACGATGCGCTCAACAATCTCAAGAGGCACTCAGACAAAGATTAAGACAGCTATAGCAGTACCATCTCTGCATTCCTAAAAACATACATGAAAGAGCAGTAGATGAGTTTGGTGCTGTGAAGAAAGGGCCAGCTTTCCCTTCTGCCAAATCAATGTGGCCCTGCTGAGGGGGCCTTTGGTCGATTATCTATTGGCAGACGCCTAGATGGGGCAGCCACCTGCTCCTAACGACCAGTCTGATGTGAGATACTGACACAAAATAGCTTGAAAATGATGATCTAGCACATAAAATTCCAATCAGCTCATTTTTCAGCACAATAACACAGCTCTTGTCATCTGTCCTAGTTGTTCACAGGCTATGAGGACTGGCTGATTGTGAGAAAACTGTTTTTGAAACATAGAGAGTTTTACCAGCTGACTAGAGATCTCCAAAAGCCTCAGGCTCAATAGCATCCCTCGGAAGCGCAGCTTTGGGCTACAGCCTAATCTTATCTTCTGGGTACTGTACATTGTGCTTTAATGGTTACACTAAGGCCACAATTTCCATCCCTCAGCTTCAATTCTAATCTTAAATTGTCTAAGGTGGTCTTATTTTGTCAGACCCCTAGTACCCACACAGCTGTAATCCCCCCACACTCCCATCACTGCATTCTCAAGGAAGTACATTGGCAGTGCTGCACCAATCACTTGCTCACACATTTAGCATTTAGAATAAGTGCCCTGCAGCACAGCTTGAGAGCCCAGATACACCCGGCTTTGCCACAATCCTTTTCTCACACACTGTTTTTCTTTCTACCTGTATTTACAGAATGGATGTTTTGTACTGGAAAGAGGTAGAGTTTTCCTTTTCTTTCTAGCAAAAACAACATAGTCTGAAGGACAGGCAGAAGTGTGTGTTTTTATGTTCATTATAAGTTTGGCATCTAATTTAATTATTTCCCAGAAGAAACTGTGACTAAAACAGTATTAGTGATTTTAGATAAGAAAATCATACACACTTTGCATGTGAATAATGAGGACTTTCATTTTTTGGTCTCTAGCGGATTGCCAGAAAAAGGTAACACCTCCTACATCTCTTCAACAACTCAACATTTTGCAAGTAAGCCATCTATTGACCAGTTAAGAGTGAGTGAGCTATGAGATGCACTAAACAGACAGAGCCAAGAGGGGCCAGAATAAACACAGTGATCCAATCAGCAGAGGAAGGTACACAGTACAATGACAAGCCAAGTAAAAATATACAATTTTCCAATTGCATAATGTTTTCTATTTGAAAAATGATGGTGCATTTTTCAAACAACACATTTTATCTGCCGGCCTGAGCACAGAGAAGGATATGTGTGGGAGGGTTAGGCAAGAGAATATCTCTCCAGAGGGATTAGAGTAATGATAAACTCTTCACCGGCAGCAAACTCCAAACCCGTCATTACAGTCAACACACATGCTTATGCGTCTGTGAACACATGTTCATACACAAACAGGTGTAGACTGCAACACGGACAGACACACGCCATCACTATAATGCAGACATTTTGGCTAGCCTACAGCTCCAAACGAACGTTGGAACATCGAGTCAATACAAAAAGAGAGATGGCCACAAAGATATGCAGAAACATACATACACACACACACACACCCCCAAAAGCTAGTCGTTACAGCTCCTGAATATTCCACCGCGCTCAGTCAATCTGCATTCGGCAAACCTGCCTCCCCCTACCGTGTCTCCACTCTCCTGGAACAAATACTAAACTGAGCCAAGGGCACCTCCAGGATTGCTTTGGCCAGCAATTTTTCCCCAATTCTCAGATCACCTCCCCAGTGACCGCCTGTCTGACATTCACACATACACAGAGCTAATGACAGCCTTCCAGCCACCCAACTGTATAACTGCCGTGGGGGGGATAGAAATATCTCTCACTCCATGGTTATCCCGTGTGGAACGCTGGATCAGGCTCACCTCAGCAAGCAAAAGAGACTTTGACCACAGGGAGTTGGGGATAATGTCAGTCAACAGTTTGAAAAGGTCTGGAAAGGTTAGGTAACTTTTCTGGCAACACAATACAATATACAAAAACTACAGCATACATAAAAGGAATATTATTATATCAAGTGTAGATATAAAATCTGGACTGTATTATCTAGTGCTGACTAAGAAAGGCTATCTGACTTAATTCAGGTAAATTTTGCCTGCTTTAAATTGACTGGGCATTTTGCTTGGCTTATTTTTTCCCTGGATAAAATGGATGTCTGTTGAAGAACCACCACAAGATCACACAGAAAAACTTCTGACCATTGTGTTTCGCAATGAGTGCAATTTCAACATGTTCCCAATACAAATCGACAAGAATTAGTGGGTATCTTGAAAGAAAATAGAATAAAGCAGATTGCTGGACTATGTTGGCAAGAAAAATTCCATTTGATTCTAGAATTTTTTTTTAAAACAATAAGCAGCAAACTGGCCACAAACAGCTCCCCTCTGTATGTAAGAAATGAGGAGCAAAACCCACTCCAGTGCAAAGCTACTACAGATCAGCTTAAACAAATGCAGTCTGAGTTAGACAAATCATTTGGGTATTTACCAAAGTTACAGTCACTTTACAATTCTCACTTTGTGTTACTATCCCTCTGCTGTGGCTCAGCAAGGGAACACTGTCTGTGGCAGCATAAAGAGGGAATTTTGTACTAAAAAGCCTATAACTATGGATAAAAATCCACCTGATTTGTCTGAGTCAGACTGCAGAATCCTTGTCTTAGCCTTAGCTAAACTTTGGAGTAAGTTTTTATTTTTTTTTTAACAGAGAGCAAGGATTGTGGCTTTTGTTCCCATCTATTACATTCTAAGTCACTGTAGGAATGAATCTCTTTGCAGCCAGACAGGGGGAACAACTTACACTTTTAGCAACCAATAACCTCTTTAATGTACATATGACCATGTCAGTATTGTTTTCAGGTAAACTTTATAAAAATACAAACCTCTCCGTTAAGCTCTTCATCATCAGGGTGAAAAGGGCAGAGGACTTCATTTCCTATTTCAAGGTTTTTAGGTCTTTCTTTGGAGTCCTGTCCTGAGATATTAACTCAGCTAAACTGATGTAACAACAGCCTCGAGTACCTTTATATTGAACTTCAAGAGTATCATTGCTCATATCAAACTGAAAACGCTTAAAACGCCACCAATTCTACAAGTCAAAGTCACTTTACTCGTCACTGAGTGATGTCACCAGCATTACCTTAGCTTGGGTTTGGGGAATCCAAATTTGAACTCTTTTTAATAGCCTAGTTTAAGACTAGACTATTGTATTTAAATTTTCCCCCATTGGTGGAACTTTCATTTACTCTAGGTATGTATTTGCATGAAATAAGCACATTTCTCTACATTATATTGTACTTTGCTTCTTTCTATAAGGGGAGTTTTTTGCTGTGTGCATTGCACAACCGCACAAATTGCAACAATACACTTAACATGGGAAACTAATTTATGGGTAGTGGTGGGTCTTTTCCAAATCACCTTACAGCATACAGAGATCATAGAGGTTTAGCATGAATGTTACACTAACCTTTTGTCAGTGTTAATTACCTTATTGATTCCTGTAGGTTAATTCTCATTTTCTTGTCTTTCCTTTAAGTGTAGGGTTAGCTAGGAAACACCCTCAGGAAGCACCCTCTGAACCAGATCAATACAATTCAGCAGAGAAATCTATCTATCTATCTATCCATCCATCCATCTATCTATACTAGCAGCACCAGTGTACTAGCAGCTGGTAAGTGTAGCCACTTCAGTGGAAACACTATTTTCATTCCTTCACACACTTATATCTGTTATGCACACATTCATGCAGGAAAACAAACTCACATTCACACATAGACCCTCTGTCTTCTTCCCTCCTTTTCACACACACACACACACACACACACACAGTGTTGCTGTATTATAAATGAGTCTCTTCCATCCCGTTACTCTTCAGTGTCGCTGCAGTCAGGGACATAATCACCACAACATACACAGAAACACCAGTGCTCAAACAGTCTGAGCAACAACATGCTTTTGAGACAGACAGGATTCACATACACACACACACACACACAGAGATACTATTACAGGGGAGTCTTGTGCTGCAGCTGAAAGGATGCTTCTAGCAATTGTGTTGTTTGCACTTGGAATGAGTTTTGTCCATGCGCTTGTAGAGGGAGAGAGTGGGTGTATGTGTGTTGGGGGAAGGGAGTGCATCTGGGTGTGGCCCCTGTGCTTGTTTATATAGAGATAGATAGACATCTAAAAACTGTGGGGGAAGTGCTAATGATGTGAGGATTCTGTGGCGTTCTGTCGAGTATCACCTGGCATCAGGACATGAGAGGAGAGTAGCCCGGGGTCTTTTCTCCCTTTCTATTATGCCCGTCCCGGAGGTCCACCTCTCCTAATGCCATGCAATGTAGCGCTGACAGCAACCTTCAAACACATCAGCAGGGATGCACTAAACAGCAATCCCCCACTGTTCACTGCTCTCCTCTTTCTCCAGACACACACACACAAAAAAAACATACTTCGGCATATCGAGTTACAAAGATATAGCAAACAGGTATGTGAACATCACATCTCATCCACACACATGCACATACACACATTTCTATACTGTGAATTACCCTGCTGCTTCTCTTTCAGCTCTCAGCAGCTACCCCTCCTCTTGCCTCCACCCAGCACCCAGAGATAACAGCCTTCCCTTCGGGCAGGCAGGCAGTGGAGGGGACAGCTATGGATATGTTCTGCCTGCTATCTAATGAGCGTCGGAATGCCACCGTGGGCCTGTCTGCTGGTCCCAGCCAGCCAAGCATCCATACATGTGGAATCAGCACAGTCTATCAAACAGCTGGCAGACAGCTCTGCTCCCTGTTTCTCTCTCGCCTTCTTTCTTCCTCATTCTCTTTCTATCTCAGGTTCTTTCTCTCTATCTCCCTCACTCTGCATACTTACTGTATGTGCCTCTCCCTGTCTATTTCTGATCACAAGCAAGCAGAGGCCCTGGTCTGCTTTGCTGGTACGCCTCTCCCTGCCCCCCACCCCCCAACAATATCATTGCCTTAACATAGACATCCCAAATGAAGGATGGAGGCAAGTTTTGCCATAAATAACACACCGCCACCTCCTCTGCCTGCGTAGCTGAATGTACTTAGCAAAGGTAATGCAGAGAAATAAGAGCGCATAATGACGGAGAAGTGCCAGTCGTGGAACAGTCGTGTTTTTCATTTCATGACAAAAGCTGTGGGAGCTTCTCTCCATAACTGTCTTTGTTTCTCTCATTCTCTCTCTTTCTCCAACTCTTCCTTGTAGTCTCTCTCCCTCCATTTCGCTACCTGCCTGGATCGAGAGCACTTCTGAGTGTTGTCTACACAGAGGACATCAAATGGACTGCCTTCACAGAGACGCTGGAGTTGCTGCTCCATGCACAAGTGCTGCTGTCTCAGCGGCTGTGCAGCGAGATTAGAAGATATCAGCGAGGAGGTGGGAAGAAGAAAACTGTCGACAAATGATTGTGGTGTTCCTCTGTCCCAAAACAACATTGTCACTTTGGTACATTATGTGATCCGTGTTGAGATCCTCCTCGTGAGGATTTGAATGTTGCCACGTCTTTGGTTTTGCCACTGATCAGGAAGCCAAAAGCAATTTCCTCTGTTGCTACTTTTGGCTGTGTTATGATAGACATCTCCATCCCTGTGATGGGGCTATTAACAGTCTTATTTGGATTGTAATGAGTGTCTGACATCAAACGACAAATATGTAACTGTCAAAACGTGCACTGCATTTAAAACTCAAGCATGACCGCAGCTTTGACACGTCCATTTTGCACAGTGCCGTTTACTAAATACCATAGATAACATATTTATCCTATACGCTGCCTTACAACTTACATCATGGACATCTGCATCACTCTTCTACCCATTCATATTTCGCTTATAGTGCTTACACAGTCCAGAAGATCCCCAATGGGTAAATTCTAGCGAGGGGGCCCATTCACGCACATTGTACATCTCCGTTAAGACAGGGTTTTGGTCCCTGCCTAATCTGATTATGCTCCATTTTTCTATGATTCTTTTCTTGATCCACCCATCGCTCCCCCTCTGCTCGGCCTGCTCACCCCACTTCTTCATGGGGACCTAACATTGCCTATTGTTCAGGCAGGTGGCAGTCTGAGGGGCCCCAAGCTAAGTCCCATTATAGAGGAAAACTGCAAATCCACAGGATGCTGCTGCTCACAGTCTCTTACAGAGTTGTGCTATGGGCAGTACAAATTAAATACATGCATATGGTATTATCAGGTGATCTGACATTTTCACAAAAAGATCTACATCAGGCATCTCACAAGAGGACCTGATCGTGGACTGCTGGACTGCATCCTCTTAGTCTTACAAGTTATTTAGACAAAATATTAAAAGGACAGCTATTTTTATGATGACAGTCACTTTTTTATTAAAAGCAGTTTGGTCAGCATGCAGATCGCCTCATCAGGACACGTTTTCTTCCATCTTTGAACAAAAATACAAGGAGTGTGTGTTACTGTACCTTGGAAGTGGAAAGCTCTAGACTCGCTGTGGAAGCCCTGGACCTGAGTAACTCCATCAAAGCCTTCCCCGAGCGTTAGTTCATCAAACACGCTGATGCGCAGGGCAGGGTCAATCCCAAAACCTACAACTAATTTGCAAACACAAAAACAAGATCGTCATTGTTATTAGCGGGCAAGGACACCTGCGACGCTATAAACAATGTCCTGCTGGTGTCAGGGGAAGAGATGGCAGGTTACTGTAGGCTAACTGTGTACAAGCTGCGGGATCAAGCAGGTCTGATTATTTCTGGGACGCCTAGGTGGCAAATTATCCAAAACAACACGATATTTAATTATATATCTTATCTTATACATGTTGTCTACATGTTGCAAGAGCTGGTTACTGTACAATCAGTGACAGCGCTGTGTCCTACCTGAGGAGGCGCAAAATATGCCGAGAACCAGATATAGCTGTAATAATCCCATGGTTAATGTATAAAAAGAAAACTAGTCCATGTTTTGTCCACTTCCGAGAGACAGTATTTGTTCAATCACATGCGAACGATGTATCGCAACGAAGGCTATTAACAATCCCAAATGCTGAGCGGAGGCATCATCACAACTTTGGATGCCTAATGATGCAAAAAAGAGCAAATCCCGATATAAGAAAAAAAATGTACACAAATTATTCCAGGCAACGCAAGGTCTGCTCCATCAGCACCATCCGCGGCACAGGTGGATAACAAGAGGACGTAAAAAGCGAGCTGCCGCTGCCTCACCGGCTGAACAGACGCTCCCACGGCAGCGTGAGTGAGATGAGCTGCAGCCGCTGAAGGAGGAGAGGAGAGAGAGCAGGGGAAAGGAGGAAAACCTGTCGACGAGCGAGAGAGAAAGGGGCCTAGGAGCCCCCTTGTGGCTTGACATGAGAAAAAGCCCTTGATAGGCTACTCGTATTGATTGCAACCACGCCTCCTACCAAGAAATTAAAATGTCTACAGTTGCTACACCTGATCCTTAAATGTGATTTATCAAGTGTTTAGTTTATTAATTGCAGTTAAATGCTAAGCCAGTGAGACAGTGCACAGCAAGTCAGCTGGACATGTCAAAGGGTGCCATTGGTCTGCAGGTAAGCATGTAATCCAGGATATTAAGAATTAGGTTTCCAAAAATAAGTTAATGACAGAAATGTTTACTTGAGTTTAAATTAAGTAGTTCTTTCAATGAAATTCCTCTGGAAATGAACAAATTCTATTAAACTGAGGACAACTAATTTAATTAATTAATTAATTTAACCATGATTAGCACCAAATTACATAGTTCTTTCCAGGAAAATTTCAAGATATTATGTCACTGGGAAAGAAATGGCCTCAAAAAACAAGGGTTTTTTGCATTGTATTATATCTAAATAAATTGAAAACTTTGTTTAAAGTTTGTACTTTGTCTCTAAAACATATTCATGACTACATTTAATAAAGAACTAAATTGGGGGGTGCAATCAGACCTATTATAGACAAGGTACATGTTATGACTTCACAACAGGAATGCCACAGGTGTAATTAATTACATTATTTGTGGCTGCATTCCCTTTCAAGGCCTACTGGCTCACTAGATTGACTAACTGGGGTAGTAAGCATTAATTATATTAGTTACACCTGTGCTTGACCTGCTGTGACTCTTCCAAACTTCCACCTTGAAAAAAAGGTCTTCTGCAGTTTAACATTCAAAAACTGCTTCTTTAGGACTGTGTGGTTGATTTACAGTCGTGTCCCTGTGGCAACATAATCAAACAACCCCACAACTGTCATAAGATTGTGATTTTTAATCTCAAGTAAATCTCAAAATAACTAAAATTGTCCTAACTTTGTCAGAAAAAGTGTGCATTCATTTAAGACTGCATCGCATGTCAGAGGCTTTAAAATAAAACCTTTTAAAATTGATAGGCTAATGATGTATCTACACTGACCAAAATTATAAATGCAACACTTTTGTTTTTGCCCCCATTCATCATGAGCTGAACTCAAAGATCTATGACTTTCTCTATGCACACAAAAGGCCTATTTATCAGCTCATCATCTCATGATGAATGGGGGCAAAAACGAAAGTGTTGCGTTTATAATTTTGTTCAGTGTAGATACATCAGCCCTTTAAGTTTCCCCACAGTTTTTCCCTGTTCTACCACCCACACAAGTTATTAAATGAAGATTAGTTGTTTCCAAATATTTAAACCCTGTAACTGCAAGATGTAACTGGTGCAATGCTAACTAAGTGACAAAACTAACGTTAGCTTGCTAATATATAACCTGCTTCAATTAAAGAAAATATGGGCTTTATAGAGAGAAGAAAAGTACTTCAGCAGGAAGGGCATTAGGGTCTGCAATGAATACACTTAAACATTGTCCTGGACATTTTCAAAACTTTTATTTACAATTTTATTTTATGCTGATTTCTATATATATATATTTTTTTTTTTTCAGGAGTAATTTGCAGTGTAATGTAAACATAGTCAAACAATAACTAGTAAAGATTGATAAGGAACAATGAAAGGAGGGGATTTGGAATAAGCAAAGCTCAGAAACTCTTCAAATCAAAGAAGATTATTACACAGATCCATCCATCCATCCATCTTCATCCGCTTATCCAGGGTCGGTTCACAGGGATTATTACACAGATGTAAAATGTAATTTAGAGAGGTCACTTTTGTGCTCAGTTAAGAAACAGTACGTACCACCTGCGATTAATGTAGGCAGATATAAAGGTATTTGTTAAGAGCAGAATATATGTGTTATTGAGATCTTGATTTTGTTCAGTTGTTGAACCCTGCTTTCTTTTTCATTGTCTGAAGGTAATATGTTGAGTTGGCTCTTTATAGAAAATGGACAGAGAACACTTTATCCATCATAATGGGACATTTCTGTCACAGAATGTGAGCGTTTTGAAATGTTCTCTTTTTGAATTTGTGGAACTGTACATTTTGGTTTGTCATGTAGCCATCCTGGTTGTTGTTGCTGTCTAGTGTCTTGTATACCCATATGGGATGGGCACGTACACGGTACTGAAATGAACAAATTAATCAACCAATGTATGCATATAAATAGTCAAACCTACATTTACAAAGTATTGTCAGGAGAAGTTTAATATAGTGCTCTATCAGTTTGTTACAACTGTTCATTGAACTTAAATGATGTTTACACTGAGAGAAATATTGAAACCCAAGACTTTCTTCATAGGTGGACCAATCAATCTTTGTCTTTTAATCATACTGTATTAAAGACCTTTTCACAAAATGTTGCAGGAAACACCTAAACCATAGAGGAGTTTACTGTGTACATAGAGTAACTGCTAGCAAGACTTTATTTCCTAACATTACTCCAACACACTCCTCTCTCCAACTCTGACCCACTCATGAGATTTGTACTTGAGCGAGACTTCAGTTTCTTGTTAAAAACAAAGGTTATTTGGTTTTTAATTAGTCACTCGTAGGTATCCTTTCCATTATGTTGTGAGACACCTGGTATAATTGTCTGAGCCTGTCAGTGGTATAAAGCACCTTTTGCGGACGAAATTGTGACGGCCATAATTGCCCCAAAGGAATACGTCGCAGCCACTGCAGCTGGTTCATGGCTGCCAGCTGAAGATATCTACTGCACAGATTTCAAAACTTTTTGTACCTAGTCATTTCAACACCAAAATATGTGAAAATATATCCCAGGTTAAAAACTACCAAAATTACCCTTTAAATGTCTTTGGAAACATTTGGATTGCCACAAGACTTTAAAATAAAGTTCTGTGGGTTTAACAGTTTGTAATGGCTGTCCCACTAGTTATTAAAGGGTAAAAAGATAAATAAGCTATTAATATTTTGGGAGTTCTCCCCCTCAAACTTTGTGTGCTTGTGATAATGTTGCCAGTATAAGAGTCAGAAGACATGGGCGGTCCAGAAGTACAACAGGCATCTGTACACTACATCGCTTGCAGTTGCTGTGCCAGAATTTCAATGAATTACAGAAAAACTGGCCCTACTGCTCCCACAAGGCATTCATTTGTTGCAATAATTTCATGTTATATTGACCTTGCCTGTCTTGCAAATCTGACTTTCATGAGTCAAATTAAAAACTGTACACTCTAAAGATGAGTTACAAGTGTCTGCTCAATAATGTTTTTAACATTCATTCACATCACTGATGTTTTATGATACATTTTTAATATATGAAAAGAAAAGTAGACTTAAGTGAAGCTGACAACAGAGCGTTTTCACATTCAACAACTGACTGCATTACTATTAAATGTTAAGCATGGGTGATGTCATTACACATCTACCAGTTGTAAATAATTTTGTGGTGAGTTGCATTTTCAGGCATTTGATGCTGTTAATCTGATAAAGGGACTGCAACAATGTAAGAACTGCAACAAGTTTAAACTCCTAGAATAACAAAATGATAAGCATACAAATAACTGCATTTAAAAAATGTTAAAATAAGTGGGGGGAAATAAAAAAAATATAGTATAAGAAATTAAGATTTCAATAAACAATATAAAACAAAATATAGAAAAGCCTATAATTAAGGCTATGATGATATTAGGTGGTCCAGAAGTACTACAGGCATCTGGAATTGCTGTTCTTAGTCTTGAAGACGTCCCAGCACTCATCCAAGAGGCTTCATCAGTTCTACTGACAGGAGTCCCCAGGCATTTAAACCTCTTTGTTGGGTTCACACTGATGTTACATGAGGCGATAGAAGTTGTGAAGGTCACATGGTAATTGTCAGATTGTGAAAGTCTCATGAATTTAAGTGTAAATTGGTGTGAAACTGCCTGGGAATGAATGTCAGAACTGCCCTCCATGGTTATAATAGTATGACATAGATGGCCTTCTTTACTACTCTTTCAAACCATCTGTCTTCTCTGTCCTCATATGAAGAATAGAGGTTGATGAGAAAAATACCAACTGTCTCAAAGCTTTAAGTTTACCAGACCCCCATAAATGCTTAAATTGTCCTATGATCAGAGTTATGACCTCCTGTAAGCATACAGTTTTCATTCTTTCAATTAGTTAATTCATCCAGTAAAGTTGTAGTTTGGCTTTTCTGCAGGTGGTATGAAAATGAATTAAAATGAAGTGCTTGGCTTGGCTGTCTGTGTGACTCAGCCTTGTTAATGCCTTTTTATAGAGCACAGATGCTTTGTGCTTTGAATATCTGTTTATTCTTCTTGCATCTACTTCATCCATGGGACCAATTACCATTTTGAAACATAACCGTTTTATCAGTGGCCATGCCATGCAAGTGATGTTTTTTTATAAAGTGGATAAACAGTTACATTCTCCCTGAATCCTAATAAGTTTCCTGCCAGATGGACATCAATCGGAGCCTTTTCGTAACGGCCTGTTCCGAGGCGATCCCAAGTCCACAACAAACCCCAGTGAATCTCTGGATCACTGGGAAAGTCTTTTGTTGGCTGTGCTGGTCTGTTGAAGTAGGCAGATCGGGACAGTTCCAGATCAAGTGTGGTGCTCAGCTCCTTCCCGAGGATCCCAGATTAACACCAATTTATTTGTCAAATCCCTCTGCCTCCCCTTCAATACAGTTTTGACTAATGCCAAGATCTTGTTTTGTTTAATTATGTTTCATGCAAAACAGATGTGTTTTGACAAATAGGCCCTTATCTGTCACCAATTCAGATGGCTTGTTCATAGGTCCACATTTTGCTGCTAATGGCCAGTTATTCTCAAAAAAAACAAAGGCACGCAATGGCACTTCATACAGTAGCACATCCAGTATGTGAGAAACCTCTATTCATTATTAAAATACTAGATTTCTTCTGGGTGCAGACACAGTAAATGTAATTACTTTGTATTGCCCACAAGTTGTCATTTCCTAAAGTGCCATCAGGAAAATAAGAGTCATTAAGCATGCTCCCAGCCAAGAATGAAAAGTAATAAACGCACACAGTGCCAACACACACCGACTCTCCTGCTCCTCCACGCACACATCAAGTCTCTCAGGACAAGGGCACTGGAACAGTGATAGTCCCATTGTTCATGTCTACAAGATCCAGATAGGTGATCCATTACAAAGCTCACAGGAGTTTATTTACTTCTGCAATAATTGCACCATATAGACATACTAATGACATAAACAAAAGGAAGGAGGCTGCAGTAGCTGTGCCAGGATTTGAAGGAAATGGCAGAAAAACTAGACTTATTTCTCCCACAGGGCTCTAGTGGGATTCATTTGTTGCAATAATTCCATGTTACATTGATCTTGCCTGTCTTTCAAATCTGACATTCATGAGTCATATTAAAATTGCACTCTAATGATGCATTACATGTGTCTGCTCAATAATGTGTTTAATATTCATTCACATCGCTGACGTTTTATGATACATTCCTAATATGTGGAAAGAAAATTATGACTTAAGTGAAGCTGACAACAGAGAGTCTTCACAGTCAACCACTGACTATTGACAATTTCATGTTAACCATGGGTAATGCCATTACATAGCCACCAGTTGTAAATAATTTTGAGTTGAGTTGCATTTTCAGGCATTTGATGCTCCTAACCTGATAAGGGGACTGCAAGTCTGTAAGAGCTACAACAGCACAACAAGGTATACAAGGTTTACAAAAAATATTAAAATAAGTTTGGTAAAACTAAAACAAAATATAGTGTTATAATTTGTAGATTTCCAGAAACAATATAAAACAAAAACTAGAAAAAAATAACATTATGTTTAACTTTTTTTTTTTCATTTCATGCACGCCACTGAAATACAGATGGTTCTCATTCTCCCAGTGCCATCTTGTGTGCATGGCAGTGGATTGCAGTGACAGTGTAGTGTAGCAGTACTGAGGTACAACAGACTGTGTCACTCTTGGACCATTCCTCGGATAAATACTTGATGAACTGACATATGGGCAACACAAAGTTACTGAGGGGGTGAGGGAAATAGACTATAACCTCAGTGCTGACTGAGTAGTATCATCCTGGAATACAGGAATATCACAATTGATGAGTGTGCATACAATAGTGTACCTGCTTCTGAAAAATTATTTGGATGTTATATTCAGATATTTGAGATTGTATGACTCAAGACTGCCCATTTGTATCTACCACAATGTCTTACATGTGGCAAAAGCAACGGGAAAAATAATTGTTTGGTTATCTACATGTGTGCAAATGTAAAGAAAAAGCGGAAACATGATTCACTTAATATTCAAAACCCAGTTTTGGCCTTTTCATTGGGTTTATATCTCTTTGTGTATTAGCTTTGCTTGCTAGCAGTTTCAAAAACGATAGTGGAGCAATAAAGTAGCTTTGTGGAGCTTATGACATGCAGCATATATTGTTTTTTAATTATTTCTCATATACTTTTTCAATCAATTCTTCCAATTTAAATACATTTTTAGCTTCTAAAAAGAAATTGTGGTCAGGCACAACAAATTAGGTTTTTAATTTATTTATTTTTCTGCAATGAGCCTGTCCCTAACAAATACACTAATTTAAATGATATCTAGTTAAATGTCCATGTATGCACTCTCTTTAGACTTTTTCCCATTGCATGTTTTTGCCCAATCTCAATCTTTGGCGTCTGAATTGTTGGTGTTCAACAATTCAGACACCAAAGATTGAGACTCTTCAGAACTCTATTAATTTGCTCCACATTTCCTTTAAAACGCACATCACTGGTGAAAGGAAAATACTATGAACTCTTAGTGTTATCTTTTATTCATTGTATTAACCAGGAAACTGCCATGTGTTCTTTCTCTATTTTAAGTATGATCTCTTAGGACAATTTCCACAACAGTGGCCATAGGCCATATGCTTCTTGTTTTTCCTCAAAGTGTGTCTAGGCTAGACTTACTTCATTGTTTTGCAAAAGCTAGATTTTCTCTATACACACAAAAAGAACAAGCATTTTAACATTTATCTACTCCATACTGTGATTGAAAGGCTCCCTTCTTGTGAAAAAAACACCACCATAGTATGGATGGAAGGCTTAAACAGAGTTAAAAAGATAGTATATTTACATGTAACTGGCTTACTATAGATGTACTCTTAATCGAAACATGGTTATACGTATGTCAATTTTTAATAGACTGTCTATGCAGTCCAGTTGCTCCACACAGCCACTCCCACTCCCCCTGGATGCAATTGTGAATGTGTGCAGTGAGCTGCCTCATTGGGCCATCATGGTGAATGGCCCACAGCCATTCACTCAGCATACAGAAGCTCATTAGAACTCTATAGACACACAATTGTGAGGCTCACATTAGAAACTTCCTCCTCTGGGCACAGACACCGCACACAAAGTGCCAGTTTGCTGCTAAGCTAAGCGCATTGTCTTCCTGATTCATAGAGCTTGGTCCTCCATTCACGATATTAAGTTCGAGTGGTGGAATATCAATTGCATGTGCAATGGGCCGGTATCTTTTTAAAAGCTTTAGTGGGGTTAAAAAAGAGAGAAAGGGGATCTCAGCCGGTCTACAGAGTGCTAAGTTTTCAACAGGGCCATTGTGAAGATTCTGAATGAAGGGACCCCTGTTTTTTCCCTCCATTTCTAAAAAGAGATGGACATCAAATAAATTCACATGAACTTGCTTCAGGGTGTTTCCAAGACCTACTGTTTAAGAATAGCCTAATTATACCTCCCACTCCTGGAGAGCTCTATTGGAGTCTGGCTAATTACGAAGTGGTGAATCTTAATGATGATACGCTCTTAGCAATGCCTTTAAAAGGTCGTGTGAGATTGGTTCTACCGAAAATACCAATGAACAGAGAAATATATGAACAGGAAAACATGGGACTTTAAGGAATCTTGTAAGTTTTGAGGTGCTTAAAACAACTTTTAGAATTGCCACAGATTCTTATTTGTTGCTAAAAAGTGAAGAAAGTGTGACTATGAATAAGCAAAACAAATACGCTCAATGTTATCACATAAAACATACCTTGATCACAGTGAGACTCCTTTCAAAGTCTATACACATAAAGTTAATAACAGCACTGGTGAGCAGTCTGTGGTTCCCTCCTGTTGTCCTGTTGTCATATAAACAAATGACTCTCTACCAAAAGCCTTGGGGGACTATCACAGCCACTGGTCTATGTGGAGCATGTTAACACACTCTCACTACACAAAAGTAGATAGTGCACACAGACTTGCTAACACTCATCATGTGACAGAGCGCAATGCCTTCTCCACCAGTCTCAGGAATAAAACCTCAAATTTGATTACAAGCAACCTTTGGCTCCCTGGCCATCACACAATAGGCTGAGCTGTCTGAGCCAATTTCCATGCTCAGCATGAGGTATCTACACGCGCATACTGGAGCTCCCTGCCACCCCCCCACACCCCCCGACCAGTGTGGATATGCCTGTTTACTGTGCCTAACCTCCGGATCTGTCGCCCCTCTTGTTGGACTTTCTTTTATGATGTTGAGGATCATTAGTTGCAGTGTGAAAGGTTACACAAGCCTCTCATTCGACGTGTTTGAACCAAAACCTCACTACGTGTGTGTGTGTGTGTGTGTGTGTGTGTGTGACCTTTTGTTTTTTTACAGTTGCAACCCTCAAAAATGCAGCATATGGCCCCAATACACAGGAGACTGACACTGACCTAAAACTGAATCCATCCAAGACTTGAACCCCTCTGTAAATATTTTGTCAGATTGGCAAATACTAAATACCAAAATTGAACAGGTTTCCTAACTGTTACTTGTTCAATTTTTATATTCAGTATTTTATTCTTAAAAAGATCTCATCAATGACATGGATTTTTAAATATACCATCATACTGCCATGTTATAGAAAAATTGCTTCCTGTCAAAACTATAGGTCTGAGTATTATGTGAAGTGCAGTTGCATCCACAGAAACATTATAGTTTAAAGTTCAAAGTAAAAGGAAAGTGTTACATATAACTACTGATACATTTATTATTAGGTAATCCCATAAAATTTAAAAGATGCAAGGTTAATATCAAATTGATTAACAAATCAAACTTATATAATAATTCAAGAAATGCATAGCTAATTCAAGTAAGGCAATATAAGGTGACATTATGTGGTGTTTATTTTTCATCCTCTTCTTGCACTTTGCTCATGATTTTGGGCTAACACAAACATGGCCTGTTTTTTAAAATTATTTTGCAATCAAGAAAACCCTCACAGAGGAATGTCTCTGAAATGAGACTGAGAAAAAGCACATTGCAAATGAACTGCTGAGGGGTGTGTATGAGGCACAATGGAAGGCTGGAGAAAAGAGAAAACTATTTACTACTGGAGAAGACTGTTTGGTGCATGTTAAACTTTTGCCAGCAGTTCATTGTCTCTGGTGTCTATCATTTAATAGGCTAGTTGACATAATGAATGAGCCAGACCCACCTTCTGCCACTCCAGAAAGGACCCCAGCCTTATCTGAATTGAGAAGCACATTAGAGCCTCTCAGCCAATCACGACACAGCCCCGTAGCAAAGTGCAGGCCCAGAAGAGGAAGAGCAGAAAACTTTTGTTTTCTTCGGAGTTTAATGAAGTTGGCCTGGTCACTCAAGAAGGGATTAAAGGAGAATTTAGTGTCACTGAGCTGTGACTGCTGAAGAGGGAATTCAAGTGTTCGGGTCACTGTGTGAACAGGATGGTCTCAGTTCAGAGCTGCACCAGGACGAATATGGCTGGCTTTCCTCCTGCTTTTCCAGGCTTCGGGAGCACGGGAAAGAGTTTTCTTATTGAGAATCTGCTGCAGTCCCAGACACCTTCAGCCCGTGGGGTGGCAGGTGGACACCTGAGACTAGCAGCATGTGAACTTACGAGGAGAACCTGGGGCTCTGAGCATGGAGCCTACCAAAGCCAAGCCCACAGTCCACGGCAGGTGAAGGATTTAGGAGGACCACTTCTGCCACACTCAGGTAAATAGATTTGTTTGTTGACTTTTTAAACAAAATTTATAGGTATATTTTATATTTATGTAAAGGATAAATATTGTTTGCTTGTCATTTCAAAAATTCATCCATTTTTAAGGTGGAAATTAGTCATAGGTCTAAAGTTTAACTTAGGTAGATTATTAGTCTTTGTAAGAGATGTCACAGTTAAGCGAGGCACAAGTCAATGATAAACTGCCATTTTTTAAAACTTGTATTATCATTTGATTTTCAAACGTAAATATAGGTCTATATAAGCTTGAAGGGGACGTGTCACTTAAATAAACAATAGGGTATTCAAAATTTAACCAAATTCAATGACATTTACAAAAAAATGTATTTTAAAAAATGTATTTTTTAAAGAAAGAAAATCACTAACAACATAACATTTCATTCCAGATGAAATCCTTTCAGTCTTGATAACAAATTACAATGATAAGATAGATCAGAAGATAAAATAAATCAAACATTTACATTTATTTACTATAAATCTGTGCAAACTCAACAATTCTATGAAATGTCTAATTGTAGCGTGTTCATTTATAGAGCCCAATTATTGATTTTCAAACTAAATCATTAAATAGTTTCCTCTGAGATGGTAGTTTTAAAATAAAACTGAGTTGGAAAAAACATCTAAATATCAAATAAAAATTGTATCTGTATCTGTTTGCATCACCTAAAGGTAAGCACTGTTGGAAAAATGTGCAGATAAAGAGGAAACTGTAAGAATTAGACAAAGTAGGAATCCAAATACCCTCAGAAGTTGGCAGTGATCCAAGTATAGTCTCTTGTGTATTGTAACGTCTCACCTAGTTTTTATATGACCATATCTGACTGTTCTTATCTATCTGTGCAGGTGTACTGAGTAGTGTTTTCCTGAGGAGCCCGCAGTATCTGCTGGCATGCTGCGGTGGGTCCAGCCCCCCTCCTGTCTTTTCCAGTGAGTGTTTTATGCCTCATCAGCAATGCCTCAGCTCCTCTCTAAGCATTAACAGCAGGGTCTCCACTACTCTCCACAGCTAATTACTGATGCAATGCCAAAGAGCTAATTCTCCGCTCAACTCTGCACAGCTCTATTCATAACCATTCACGGCTGTTTAGGACGGGGAAGAGGGGTGGGTTGCAAGGCTTTTAGGAGTCCCTGGGGCCCCCTATTTTGTACTTGCAAATACACACTTGCTAGCGCAAATATGCAGAGCTAATAAACATCTTGTCTTCTGTCATAATAAAATTATAATTACCAGGTGTGGATTCTTACTGCTGAATAAGGCAGATTGTTTCAAAGTGTAGCACTATCTCAGCACATTAATAAGTTTGGATGTGAATCCATCAGCTTCAAATTAAATTTTCAGGCTGCACAAAATTTGAAAACATCTAGGAAACCTGTATTTGCACTGAATTGTAATTGAAATGTTTTAGGTCATGTAATATAATTTAGAGTACTAGTACAATATCGTACTCTATAGTATTAATTAATACTTGCAGCTGTCGTATTTTGGCATTGTCCCACAGCAATTTGAAGTTATTAGTTTCTGCAACCTATGATGTCTGTCAAATGTTGTGGAAAACAGCACAAATCAGAAAGCCCTCATCCCACAGGTCCCTGGAGTCCTCTTAGTAGGCTGACACTTTCCCACAGTGCCCAGCAACACAACAATGCCAAGTCTGGCCGTGACTAATTGGCACTTTCACTCCACCATCCACACGCGACCTCACTGCAATTTTTCACTGCAGCAATGAACTCCACTAAGCACAAAAAACTTGCCCATTTCTCTACAGAAGAGGGCTGGACCAGGAACATCCCCCAGCCATTGTGTGGCTAAAGAGCTTGGTTCACCAACCCCCCTCCTTTCTCCTGTCCTTCAACTCTCATTCCTGCCCATTGGAGACTTCTTGACTAGGACATAAAGCATTCAATGAAAGTGACTTTTATAGACTTATTCGAGCTCATCTTCACATACAAACTGGCTTCATACTTGCAGGTGAAAAGATTTACTATTGGGCCACTGAGCCATCGAGTAATGGCATTTCCATTGAACGGCTCTATTGATGGTGTCTCACAGAGCTCTATAGTTGGCCCACTAGGGCAGACACACACGTTGCCCAGGGATGACCTGGTAATCAGCTATTTAAGTGAAAGCCATTGATTCCCCATAGAGAAGTGAGAAGCATGTCCAAACCTGTTATGTGCTCCCCAGAGGTGGTCTATGTGCAGATTTGTCGTACAGATTAAAAAGGCAACATTGAATGGATTGGATAAATTGTTCCACTTGACTTTTGTTGTGCGTGCACCTGTGAGTGAAGTAGCGTGGGATTGCTCCTCACAGTTCATCAAATCCTTTTTTCCTTAGTTGAAGTGGCTTTATATTCTCTTTAGTCACCCCCAGTTTGTTAAATTGGACAAATAGAAAAAAAGAAATCAAAAGTGAGTGGTAAAGTGAGTGTGACAAAAACAGGCATGATCTAGGGTTGAAAAGGGTGTCCCACAACTCACAGATAGTAAGTATCATGGTAGCTAGGGTCAACATACTGAAACTGATACTGTACATATGTAAATCATATAAATATTCCAATTTATGTTTCAGAGGGGGCAAATATTCGAATGTGGTCTGCTGATATAAGTCCTAAATCACGCAGAGGGATCCTTAGGAGGGCTGTGTTCTCTGAAGAACAACGAAGGGAGCTGGAGAGAACTTTTCGGAGACAGAAATACATCAGCAAGACAGACCGTAACAAACTGGCAGCTGATCTCAGTCTCAAGGAGTCACAGGTAATAGTTTGAATTACCAAATTTTTGCCTGATGAAAGACATTAAGCAGACAAAAAAACCCATCCATGTACATCCTGGGTGTTTATGAGGCACACGGCAGTTAGCCATATTTCATTTTACCGCTGAAATGTGGTGCAAAACCCTTCTCCTTACTCAACTGCAACTCTTGATGAACAAACCCAAATCCGGCTTAGTGACAGTTGAAGACTGCTTCTATAGGCCTAGATACTGTATGAATGTGAAGAGGCAGAAAGTCAGCAAGACCCAGATTAAAGGCTCAGTGTGTAAGTTTCAGTGGAATCTAGTGGTGAGGTTTGCAAATTCCAACAAATGGCTCAATGTGCATTCACTCGCTCCTTGGACGAAATAAGTCCTTTATAATAAATGTATTAATTTTAATTGCAATTGTAAATTCATCTGTAAAAAACCTAATTCAAAGGTAATAAAAACACAACAATTCAGTATGTTACGTTTGTTAGGTACAGTACTGAAAACATAATTATGTATATTAAATTGTATTTCTGTCCATAGATCCTCCTAAATATTACATATTGGACATTTAATATTGGCTTAAACATAACTAAGAGTCTACAACCATGCAAGCGGCTCTGTAAGGCTGTACTAAGGCACAGTGGTGCTTTTAGCTGAATGCTAACATCACCAACAACATCTTAGTATAGCGTGTTATTATTAGCATTAAATAAATTGGCAATAAACAAAAAGTATAGGGATGTTGGGACTGTTTTTCAGATATTTGGTCATAAACCGAAGTATTGGACAAACTGAAATATTAACCTGATGGTGAAGCTAGATGAAAAGTCATGGGATCACCAAGGGTATTAAAAATCATTCTGGGGAGATATGAATGTCTGTACCAAATTTCAGTCCATCCAGTAGTTGTTGGTGGATAGCACTTAAAATCACAAATGTGAACCACATGGTGGAGCTAGACAGCAAAAGTCATGCATCCATCTTTAGGCACCATGAATGTCTTTAAAAAATCATGTTTTTCCCGTCTAACAGTTGTTAGTCAAAAATGTTAGACAGACCAAGTGAACCCTAGATTTATGTCCCTGATATGGCTTAAAAAGGACACAAATTTAACTAAATTTGCTTCTCTGTTCTTCTGCTGCTTTAGGTGAAGATCTGGTTCCAGAACCGCAGAATGAAGTGGAGGAACTGTAAGGAGAAGGAGGTTCATAACACTCGCTCCCCAATGGATGAGCTCATGGCCCAAGGTCTCGCTCAGGAAGAGGAAGAACCATCACAGAATCACACTGATGCAAAAACAGAGAGATCACCGCCACAGAAGAGTGTCAGGGACACATGAGAGGCTGTAATGAGTGGAAAATAAACAAATGACTTTCTCAAATCGCAGAAACCTATAAAAAATGTGTGGATGCAGTGTCTGTGATGACTAACACTGATAGTAACTTTTAAATGCATGTAACTGTTTTGTTGCATGATAATTGTGATTAGATTCAACTGCTCAGTCAATGATCTTTTTGCGTTTCACTGGCTTCAGTAAGAAATTTATTTCGTTATTACACTCATGTCTTTCCAGGAAAGATTCCCATCATTCGATTGTAATTGCAATCAGTTAAAGAAACATATAAATCACTTAATTTAATGCATTTACAAATCAGACCTTTTTTAAATTGTTCATGTTTTGGTCAGCTTTACACGAATACTAAGCTCATAATTCAAAACCCTTTTGAGGTCAATTGTCACTTGGAATATTTTGTACATTTTTTTTCATGATCTTAAAAGCACAGATCAACTGTAAATAAAGCGTTTGACTGAATCCTGATTTCCACATTGCTTATTCAAACTATGTCGGGCTCTCTGGAGCAAAACCATTTACATGTTAATGAACACTCTACTAAACACCAGTTACAATTTCATAAATATGTAGAGCTTGTGTTCCGCATTAACAAGAAGATGACCAAAAACGATAATGATGGTTTGCTTAATTTTTATTTTTTGACCTTTTCATGTGCAATGCTCAAAGGCAAATATTGTTTAATTACTTATAACAATAATTCTGCAAGAGGCACGCACAATCCTCTACATGAAATGCATAACAAAGAATGTAAGCACATACAGTAAGAAGCAAGAAGCAAGTTGTTGTTAAAAGTAAAACGGGAACAAAAACTAGTCAGCCAATATTTAAATATCCTACACTAGAATCCTTAGCTATCATTATTAACACTCCAGTCCGGGTGCATTTCAGGATACGGAGATAGTTTTTGACTTTGTTGGAATCTCTGCGGAAGCAATAGAGTAGGTCATGATGGTCCATTGAATTGAGTTCTCCTTGTTTGTAGAAGGAAAAGGCAGAAGAGGGGACCAAACTCTAAGGAGAGATGTAACCTACGGTATTACCAAGCACTCCCAATAGCTTCATCTGAGGTGAAGAGGAGAAAAATTGAAGGTACATAACTAATTCTTTGAAGTAATACATGCAAAAAATTAATATATTGATAAATTCCACTTTGCAAATAACCAAGCATATTCAAACATGAAGATTATAATCACTGTTAGACAGACCACACAACACATCTACAAGCTCAGCAACCACAAGTGGATCCCTACCTTCTCAGCCATTTTTTCCACTCCATCCCTTAGCTCATGCACCATATCACTGATCTCCAGTGCCTTGTTGGAGGTGTGGTGGTTAAAGTCTTGATTCTGATCCTGAGACATGCTCTGGTAGAGTTGTGACAGGGGGTAACTCCAGGCCCCCAGCAGCCTCAGGATCACCTCCGTCAGTTGTTCTCGCTGCACATGAAATAACTGCTTAAATAATTTTAGAAGAGCATAACTTAATTCCATGCACCATGCAAAATTTGTCTTTATATTATCTCTGACCAGATGCAGTGACATCACTTACATGCATGAATAGCTTTGACCATATGCAATATTAATAACATGAATGCTCACCCCTAGCCTTTGTGCATTCTCTTTATCGTCTGGTGTTACTATCCCATATGTGTGGCACTTCTGTTTTCCTATGAGGTTCTTGCTGGGATAGAAATATTTCCTCTATGAAGACACACATATCACACAGGGTGATATCCCGGCTTTAAAAACAGCCAACTCTGACAAGGGTGATTGATGATGGTGATGGATGGTGATGGATGATCAGTGTCAGAGCTGAATAAGATAACTCACAAATTCAGTGTGCAGATCACTGGAGATTCCATGCATTCTTGAAGACTGTTGTATGACACTGTCAAAGCGATCTGCCAGGGAAAGAACATGGCATCCAGCCTGACCATAGGCACAGATCGGAGCAGTGCCAACCCTCATTGCAAGCTCCAGGCACAACAGTGTAAGAACAGAAAACCAAACTGGGGGGGGGGGGGATTTGTCACCAAATATAACAATTCATACAAATAAATAATAAATAAAATGAACAACTATTTAATTTGGCATCTTGTCATCTTACCCTTTTCCATGGTTCCTTTAATGCAGTGGAGGACCAGATGATGACTAGACCACTTTTCACACCAAAGCTAACTCACACAATGATGACGTTGCTGATTAAACGAACTGGTTAATAGAGGATAAAAACAAGATTTTTATCATTGAACGTCATACAGTATGCTTCACTTAGTTATCTATTCAGCCAAAAGCAGTCAAAGCTAACTCACGCAGAAAATGCATTACACACTGTAGACTGGCTTACGTAATTTGTCATTTTAAAGTAATGAACATTAGTGTAAATAAAAAACTTTTCTTGATGTGCTCAGCTTGTAGTCCAAATGTGCTTCTCCTAAGTGTAATAGGGAAAACACTGACTACAAAAACAGATGCAGACTCTCCAACTGTCAACATCCAACTTTAGGCTAAAATAACTGATCCTTATTAAAGTCCCAATATATTTATCTTGCTAAAGAAGTACATAAAAAGTGTGATAAATAACATTGTTAGAAGCTCATACATTGGAGATAATTTGCCAATTTGGGGCAACTAAGAATATTCAAATCATTTTGCATTTATTTTAAACTACAAGATGGCTCATCATCTGTTAGGAGCCCATTGTTACACAACCCCTGAACTAATCAACCTGGTAGTGAAAATGAGGCTATTCAAATGTAAAGTGAGTGATTTATCTTCTCATTAGCGCTACATAGTATGGTCAGTGCCACAGGCCGTCTACATCAAATACAGTCGCGAGTCATTCTAAAGAGTTTCACTTCTTATCCAGGGCCACTTTCCAATTCCCCACTGTTACGTCCACCTATGTGTCCCTGAGCAAGACTCTTAACCCTTAGTTACTCCAGCGGCATGCAACCTCTGACATAGCAATTGTAAGTCACTTAGGATAGAAAGCGTCAGCTAAATGAATTAATGTAATATACACTCTTTGAACCCTTTTCAATACTTGCAATTAAAAGGATCATGGCATCACAGTAGTGAACCAGCACTCTGCTTAGTGTGCCATCTTGTGGTGAAATAAGTGATAATTCATCGTGTGGGTATATAAAAGAGCAAAGCAGTTTGGTTAACACAGTTGGTAGTTAAATATTACAAATACTCAGCAAGTAGATTCACAAAACAAATATTTTATTGCCATCTTTTTCGACATAAAAAGATGTCATAAATACACCAATATTCCTATAGAAAATAGAATATACAATCAATTTACACATTTATGTACAGGTTTGAGTGCATACTATAACTGTGTGCTGTCAGAGCAGGGATGAGGTGATGAGCTGCTGAGCAAGGCAAAGGGTATTGATGTCTGAGTGTAGCTCAGTTATTATATCTATTTCCAATTAGCTTACTTTACAAATTGTCACTAAAACCCAATGCCAAGAAAGTCAAAATTCCTCCTTGATTTTGTCTCAAATCATGTGTGTTGTAGGTGTGGAATCATGTAAGTAGTTTGTTTTTGCGTGATTCTACACTTCAAACAGAGAATCAGAGCTTCACTTTTTACATGCAAGTATCAGCCTATTCAACATCTGTGGTGCTTCCACTTGCGAGTGGCCACTGCAATGTTTGTGTCTTTTTTGTGCCAAGGGAAGAGATGGGTGAGAGCAAGGGTGCCATCAGACTGCACAGAACCAGTCAGCACGTAAAGCTGTGATCGGCCGGGGCGCACAAGGGCATTGGCACATCGAAGGTTGATGAGGAGCCATTGCTGGAGTAGGTGCCTGGTGTCATAAGGCAGCAGAGGTCCTTGGTGGATAAACTCAACCCGGCCCTCAACCTCAAATTCTGGCTCTCCCGTGGGTAGACGATGGCGATGAAGTTTGGCAGTCACAGCTGTGGAGAAGAGGGGGAAAAAATCAATCATTGGTCTTGAAAGTTAAATACAATTGTGACAAAGCATGCCCAAAGAGGATATACATCAACACACCACAGCTTACTGAAATAATTCTAAAACTTACCAAAGTCATGCTGGCAAAAAGCATTCAGAACTGTTTTCATTGCAGGAGCCTCTTCCACAGAGGGACAGTTTTGGCAGGCAGGTTTGGGTAAGTCTGTGATAAGAAAGATAATATTTAATAAAACGGTAGGGTGTAAACAGTAATTATAGGAAATCTAAAAGAGTAAGCATTTTGTAAAACAGATCATTAGTCTGTGGTCAATGCGTACCTTTGGCAAAGAGACTGTATTTTGCGTGGGGAGACAGACATATGTCTTCCTCAGCAGGAAAGCGGTCACAATCAAGTGCCCCTGGCCATGGGTGACCCTGGCAGGCAAGAACCGGGGCACATCTTTCCCTTACTGCCACACACAGACTGCGGCAGGGCTGGATAAAACTGAAGGAAACATAGACAAAATGTTACACAATGAACGCAAAATTACTGCAATAATGATTTTTTAAAAAGGACAAAGTTTTACACATGCAGAAAAGTAAGGATTCACAGAAAATAAAGAGTAAGAACAAGAAGTGTAAAATCTCCTTACGTGTCAAGACAGACAGGGGCAATGAGGGAGCATAAGAAGGCCTGGGCTTGAGGGTGGCAGCCTGTCTGCAACAGGGGCCTCCAGTCCTCTGAACGTGGTACCACCTCGCCTTCCAGGTTGCTGTGACCCAAGAAGTTGGGCAGCCGCATCTCAGAGTATCCAACATCTTTGCAGACCTTCATCTGGTTGGGGATAGCAACGCAGCGAGTAGACTGACCTATATCAAATGCCATTAAAGGGCATGCTATAGTGAGGAGAGCCACAGCGAAGAACACAGCCATACTGAAGGGTTTGCAAAATCCAGAGAGAGCAGAAAGTAGATAGATGAGCTATTGCTGAGGTTGCTTGCTGTCAGAAGTCTCTGTCCTTGAATGGCTTTGTAACTGCTGCAGCTTGCTTTATATACAGCAAGGTCAGCCAGGCCCATCAGTCTCTAAGTCTGTTATCAACTACCAATCAAAGACGCAGAGACGATGTGTTCGGAGACAACGACTTGTTTTTGTGATGACTGCAGACAGAGAGGGGGCATTAAGCAGATGGAGGGTGTGTGTGAGAGGGGGTAGGGAGGGGGGAACAATGGGCAGCCGTAGCCCAGCTTTCACTAAAGCCCAGTCACAGAAGGTTGAATCTGCTTTTATAAATCCAGAAGGTAGAAAAAATATTATCTTATAGTGTTCAAAGTATCCATCATATGGCTGACAAGTCTGCTACATGGCATGCAATATTTGTAGTATTTGCAGTAGCAACTCGGTTACCTCAAAAGTGAATGATGTGTTTGGTTTTTAACCTGGTTCCAATATTATTTCTGCGGTCACAAACTGCCTCTCTAAAGGTTCCTATAGTAAGAAATCTTGAGATTTTTGTAGACAGAAAGGCAGTCTCCTTCAAAGTGCTGGTCTCTTTCATGTGTCCCTGCTTCCTAATTGAAGGGTTTTATCGTCAGACCCTCCAGTTCTCATTAGCAAAGCAGCATCTCTTCTGGCTCACCTGGCTTTGATCTGCCATTAACAAACTCAAATCCACATGCAAAATATTATTAGCCTAGCTCTTTTGCGTATCTGTTGTCTGTGATGCATCCTCAGCATTCTGTACATGGCACTCACATGAAAATTAATGTGTTATAATGTCTAGAATGAGTTACAATTTCAGTGTGATGCTGGAGATGTTTTCCCTTTCTTCAGTACATAAAGGCTACATACATTTCCTTTGGACAAGATTTGATGAAGATCTCTCCTTTGAAATGAAAAAAATCTTTATTTTGAGACAAAGAATCAGAACCAGAGCTACATGCTGTCAGACGCATAAACACTCATAATATGCCAGCATCCCATTCAAGACACCACAGATCTTGTCCCAAGATATAGACCTGGGGCACAGACATATGTGCTAATTTGTCTCGTTCTCTGTTTCATGTATTTAAGCCTTTTAACAAAAAAACTACATTACAGCATCATCGTATTTGTTTGAACGTCGTCTGTCTCCAGATTTAGATGTGTATCTGGAGCTAAAGCCTTTGGGCCTTTTGAAGACTTTCCTTCATGAATCAGAGGGCTCTATCCCCACCCAGTCTAACATGAACATTGTGGTTTCAGGCATGCCAGAGTAATGTCAATTCCGATGGGGTCTTCATACCAGCCCTGTCAGCAGCAAGTACTGCGCTCTTGCAGCTAGCCAGAGCCCTCCATCGGCCCCAGCTCAGCCAACTTTTACAGTCTGATCTGATGAGTGGAGGCTGGTTCCAGTTCGGGTAGACGAGTACAGCCTGAAAGAGGGGACTAACCGGGCAATTAGTCACAGACCAATTTGGGAGAACAATAGGTCCACACATTTAACAGGCTCCCCCTGCCAGGAGCCCAGCAGGGGTCTGTTGTTGGGCCTAATGGCTGCCCTGTAGACACTGTGTCTGTCTTGGTAATGTGTCGCCTGCCCCTGCCTCAGTTAATGAGAAGGTGATAGAATATGAGCTGAATGGCTGGCCAGCAGACAATCTAGCAAAGACAGTACTTGGCTTTAAAAAGACATGAAAATACATGACCAACCCAAGTCATTGATTAGCCTCCTTTGTTTTACAAAGAACCAAAACATAACTTTACTATACTTCTTTCTACAATTTCAAAGTTCACATATTTGCTTGATTTAGGCAGTTTCTTATTCGATAGTGCAAGTAATCCTGTTTCAAATCAAATGGCTATGAAACACTTATTTTGGGTTAAATATTAGCCAAATGTTATCTGTATCACAATACTGCTGTGCTATTTATTTCAAGAGAAATTAACTCGTTTTTGTACTGAAATTAAGTTCTTCTGAGACAGCAGTGTCAGAAGATGCACCGGGAATTGTAGTTTAAAGGACAAATTCACCCTCAAATACAATTAATGTTAGAGGTGTGTTATATGATAGAACTGTTTAAATATGTTAAAGTGTGCCAAATTGTTGTTTTGGTGGTTGGGCACCAGTCTGTCAAACAGACATCCAATCTGGCCAATGTAGTATTTTGCTTTTAAAAAGGCACATGGAACTCTTTAAAACAAAAGTCGACATTTACCTTTATAACATAACTCCCTTTAAACTGGGCAAAAATAACACTTGTCTACAGGTGCAAAGTCAATGTTTTCACTCAATTTAGGAATTTTCTTTGCTAGCGCACATCATTCTGTTTAGTTCATTAATTTTTAGCAAAATAGCTGACCTAATGTGTCAGTGTCAGTCTGTTTTTACACATACCATTCACATTTTTGTACCATGCAGCTTAGTTCTTATGATTCAGCAGTGCCACATTTGTTATACAAAACGTTCACTGATACATTTCCTTAAAGGGAGAATCTAACCTTAAGTAACAATTCATGTCTACAATATTGCACAGCTCAGATTTGAGAAACATCTTCCTGTTGAGGTGGAAGTAGATAATGTGGATAAATAATGAAACTAACTCTCCACTACAACACTATATACTATAATACTGTCTGGTTCACAGGTATTAATTTTACACTAAAATAAAACTTTGAAAGTGTTATCTAAGATATTCTATGAACACAGTCTGTCACTACCACAGTGCCAACAGACCACCTTCAAATTTGTCAGCTGGAGACCTTGTCAACTTACGTCTTCCTGCTCAAAAATTCAGCTAGGAAATATGTGAATTTGCAGATTCTGACGTTATAGTCAAAAAATTATGAGTGGCTTAATTCTATCCAATTTGTACTATCTTTCCCCTCTACAGTATACTATACATAAGCAGAACAAACACCTGAGACATACATCAAAGGCAGAGGTGTGTTTGGGAAGAAAAGGAGGGGAGACTGGGTGTCTGAGCTGGCCTTCCTTGCAACACAGAGAACTCAGATAAAAGCGGTCTCCTCCTTACGCACAAGAGACTCGTTAATGTAAGAGACTGAACCCCCATTTGCCTCTTTTCTCTTCCCCTATCACCCTCTCCATCCTGCTGGGCTCCAGTAGGACTGACAGTCCCTGTGCAGACCGTCAGTAGCACTCAATTGTCACATCCAGTCTCCGAGCCTTGTGGGCAGACGCTGCCATGCCGAGGTGAGCAGACAACTTGACCCCAAAAGCTACAGACACTTGTGGATCGACTCCGTATGCTAAATGAGGGTAATGTACTCAACAAAATAAAAGTTAAAATGTTGTCTTTTGTCTAATTTCATGTCCTCAAAAAAGAGCTGAGACTAAAGCACTGGGAAATTCTGCTGTTAAAATCAGGCCAATGCCATTCAAATAATTTTAGTAACTTTATTGTGCAGCCTTGGCAGATGAACACAGCTGAGCTTCTATGATGCAATTCACAACAATTTGCCCATAATCTGTGACAGTTTAATTGAAAAATCTTATGCACAGTCAAGCACATCGGCTTAATAATCACAAAACACAGAAATAATTGTGCAGTTACATGAGCTTGATCATTATTTCTATCCTAGAGTGGACCTGCATTTGGCTTTCACAGAATCAAACTACTTTTCAAACCACTTCTGTTAACACTGATCACAATTCACTTTTCAAACATAGATAATCCAAGGAAATGTGAAGAGAAAAAAACAACTTTGAATACAGTAAGACACAGTCAGGCTGATGGAGCTGAGCTACATCATCTACGACTACGATGTCGTCTTATGCTTTCTCCTCTGCAACTCTGTGGGAGAAAAGAAAAAAAAAGAAAAAAAAAAAAAGAGGTGAGATCATTATTGGTCAAAAACGGATACAAACAAGAGTGTTAATGTGCCATTTTTTGCTCTTTGAGTGTACACTCATAAAAAAGTATGCTAAATAAATACTTGTCTGGTCCAGAATTTTATTTTATTTTTTTAAATCATACCAACCTAAAAACAAGCAGATTTTACAGTAACAAAAATATATTTACAGCTGGTATCTGTAGTAATCTGTCTAATTTATTGATTAATATACAAATTGAATTGCATTAGATTGTACAGGTGTACCTATTAAAGTGGCCACTGAGTTTAAGTATCCACTATGAATTAAGACCATATAGCTCATATGTCATGACAGTTGACATACATCTCTATGTCTCTTAGGCAAGGAGGAGGGTCGCAGCCCACATATGCCCCATTGATGAAACAGTACTGCAGTAGAGCCCTGAAACATGGATCCTGGAAAGAAATTAAGACAGTATAAGTATAATATAATATTAAGTATAATATTAATATTAAATATATAAATAGGCTGGATGTACTATTGTATGTAGTAATATTAACAAAACATTTTTATTTTTAAAAAATATACAAAGTAAGTGTTTTGTCACTCACCCTAACGAGAATGTGAGGGTTTCCAACAATTAAGAGCAGGGCTTTGGGACGAGTGACAGCGACGTTGAAGCGCTTGGGGTTGGCCAGAAAGCCGAGTGCACTCTGCAAATCATCACTCTCTACTGATTCATTAGAGCGTACCTATATCATAAGAGAATGAGATTAACTGAGTAATTGCCAAAATAAGGAAACTATGGGAAGTTTATGTCCAATGTTTGTGCTCAACAGACTCTTGTGTTATGTTGTGGCTTTTATTTCTTTCTTACAACCTCAAGGTTTAATTTTGTGATTATTGAAAAATATCTATATGATTGAAGAAATTATATTAAAATGCAGTATACCTCACGATAGTGCACTGTCTTACTGAATGACAAATTGCACAAGTAGCACAAGCTGAGAATCCTAATCACTACCAACCACATCAAAGATATGGGTATATTATTTGGAACTAGTCCAAATCTATTTTAATACATTGGATGAAATTTTAATATATGCAAACATCTTGC